AGGCCGGGCAGAGACCGTTGAGTGGTGCGGAGATCACTGACCGGGACAGTGGTCGGAGACTCGACGAAGGGTCAGCTGAGGGACCAGAGATCATTCAGCGCGTTAGACCCCAGCCAGAGCGGGAGTGTTGTGACCTCATTGGGGGAAACTAAGATATATTTAGCCTTCAGAGCGCGCAGCCTTCCGCTGGCTAGAGCTGGCGGCTGCGGACACGTGGCCGCGGCGGCGTCTCGTCCAAAAGGCGGCCGAGATGCGGCAAACTGGCGTGGGAACTGTGAATACTCACCGTCACAGGTCACTGTAGCCGTCCCCTGCAGCTGTATGGGGGGTGGCCAGTCCCTAAACCATTCACGTGTATGTTTGTAATTAGTCGATTCGTGAGACTACGGATCCCGGCTGCACATGACGCGTGAGGGTCTTAGAGTGTTCGAAAAAACTGGTGCAATTTTACAAATTTTACGTGCCGTCTAGTTAGTGGTCCAGAGGAGAAGTGGATCATTAGTTCGCGCCGCGGAAGGCGGCAAATGGTGTGAGCTCTTTTCCAGTCAGCGTTTTCGTGTGTTAATTGCTTGTTTATTTCATGAGCAGGGATGTAAGCACCTCTCCAGGTCACGATGTAGTGTGGCGTAGTCTTGTATCCGTTTTTAATAGACACGTAGTTACATTCTTTCATAGTCTGCGTGAAGTTTCCCACGAAATGTGCCGGGCGATCGATAAAGACTGAAATTATGTGCTGTGGCCGACCACTCACACACATTCGCGTCGAATTCAATCAGTTTGAACCATTTAGAACCAGAAAGACATTGACAAATGGGCACTTTTCTATAATCATTTTCCTATAAAAATTGCGCTATTGTGGGCGCATGGTATTGCATTATATATATATATATATATATATATATATATATATATATATATATATATATATATATGTCTGTATGTATTTATGCATGAATGTATACATAAACCATCAATGCACCTTATCGCCCTCTCCTCAATCCTTTGAAACCTTTGTATGAAATATGAAGCTTCGTTGGGTAATTCATAAACGATATTTCCGAGAATCATCATGTGTAGTGTAATTATGACACGCATGCACATTTACATCAGGTAGGACGATATCGTTTGATGATATATAATCAATCTGCTAACAGTGATCGGCCTTCGTTATATCAGAATGCACTGGGAAACGATGTTATTGACCCTATTATTTAAGGCATGTACAATGCACGTCCTGTCGCGCCCTCCTTCGGTCCCGCCTGACATCTCGAGATTGACTCGGTCGATTATATAAACTCAACGGCGTTCATTTCCTCTCAACATGATCTACCTCGCTAAAAAGGAGGTTCATGATATTTTTGATGTGGGCAAAAGGGACCAAAAATAAAACAATTAGGTTTTTTATTCGGCACGCTTGCCACGTCCATCCATCGATTTCGACGCAACTTATCAAAATCGATAGCTGATAGATCTCAAATTAACGTGTCAGAGCGGGACCCAAATATTCGAAAGTCATGTGCGTATCAGTAAGACATAAAAGGGACGGATAACAAAAGTTTTCGAAACTCTTTTTAATCGGGACGAAGGCGGGTGCGCTGTCAAGGCGTCGCAAAAGAATATATAAGATCGAAATACTACCATAGACGGCTCCAGAGAAGCGAAACGGGAGGCGAAATCAAAAGCTAACATTACCTCTCAGCTACTATGCTTATATGAACTCTGAATTAAAAACGGTGCTTATATAATGTACGTGTGTGCGTGTGTGCGCGCGCGCGCGCGCGCGCGCGCGTGTGTGTGTGTGTGTGTGTGTGTGTGTGTGTGTGTGTGTGTGTGTGTGTGTGTGTGTGTGTGTGTGTGTGTGTGTGTGTGTGTGTGTGTGTGTGTGTGTGTGTGTGTGTGTGTGTGTGTGTGTGTGTGTGTGTGTGCTTGCGCGCCTGCGTGCGTGCGTGCAAGTGCGTGTGCGCGTGCGTGCGTGCGTGCAAGTGCGTGTGCGCGTGCGTGCGTGCGTGCAAGTGCGTGTGCGCGTGCGTGTGCGAACATGCGTCAGGTGTATCCAGCTTTCAGGAGGAGGAGGGGGAGAAGAGAAAAGTGACTTGAGCGTGGTCGACTGACCCAACCACCGCCCACTGGCTGACAGCTGTTGGTAGCCACGGTCTTCATGTAATGTATTAAACACTCTCGTCTGTTGTCCCTTCTGGACTCGCCTCCGACATGCTGCTACTTTTTTTAGATTATGTGTAATGCACAGAGATGTAGAGTGAAATGTAACATGTCACCGAAGTGCTTCATGTTTCAAGTGATGTGACCTCCCTCTCTTGCATACCCGTTGGAAGGTATTTGTTTGTCTTCAGTTTTCATCAAGTAATGACACAACGGCGTGAAAGAACAATAGCCCAAGTGGGATAGGCTAAACACCATAGGCTCATAGGCATAGGGATAGGCTCACCTAATTTGGTAAGAGGGTCTAAAACTTTGACATGGGAGGGAAAGTCGAAAGATTGGGGCACCAGAAGAAAAGGCCAGACAGTATGAAAAGGCGACGGTATCTTGGGGCATTGTTTTACCCAGTAAAACTGAGATGCTTTTCACGTTTGGAGTGCTCAAACAAACTTTACCAGCAGACTTCTTCATCTTATACGGTCCGGTGTTACACCTATTGTAAGTATACGGGATGGCATGATCCCAAATCGCTTTACTGCTGAGGGTCTAAGTCCGTTAAATGTTTAATATTGGACCTGATCAGAGCTGACAGGGCCTATCGCAAAACGCAGGTCGTGTCCGTAGGACCTAACCTCCAGCTTCACTTCTCCAGCTTCGATTATCGTGACCGCTTCAAACAATCGGTGTCTAGGCTCAGCATCTGCGTCAATGTTATTTTTTACGATTTTGCATACCAGTTTCTCAACATTTGGCACACGTCAATTAATGATGTCTGGTAAGTGAGACATCTAGATGAGTTGCTCCGATTGAATCTGGAGACATAATGGAAGTGCTGGGCGGAAGCTGCATGCCTTTACCTCTAAAACAACAAATGGCGCGACAAATTATCATTTTCTGGAAAGAAAGCGACCAACACAATGTTTCCTATTAGGCACTGGAGCCTACTAAGTCTCTTTAGGCACTGGAGCCTACTTTAAGTCTCTTGACTTTCCCTAACGGGTGCAGAACGGTACAGAGCTAAACAAAAAACGTTTGTCAAAAATACGTTTGGTGTCTGGGTTTGGTATATCGTAGTGCACAAAAATAAACAACCTGCACAACAAAGTTTTACTTGTTTTCTATGGTGGTTTGTGTTGCTAGTCGATGTCACTTATATCATTGGTATGATGGTTGATGGTCTGATGGTTGAATGCAAGGCTTTGTAATTTCTAGTATTTTAACGATTACCCCCGGCCCTCACTCGCAAAAAGCCCAGCGAAGAATCCACGTCGGTGCAGTGAAGCAGTCTGTGTGTGAAGCAGTCCACATGGACTAGACACGGGTGTTCAGCAATGTGTCTCAGGGGAGTGATGGTGCATAACATTTTGCAGTCATTGCCTTAATTAAAGCCACGTTATGATTTTAGCAGCACTGTATGCCTATAAAAAGGAAAGATTTGCAATGTACCCCGATTTCAACGTCATTGGCGTCACTTAAAGTGCGTCCGTTTCGAGCGCTCGCTGTAGGCACGCGTGATTAAGAACAAATCTGTGTGCGTAGTCTGTCTCATAAATTCATCTCCACGACCCGTGCTGCCTCGATCGGGGGCTCGCAGCCTCTTGCTAATTGTTTACGATAGTGAAGGACGCATTCGGAGCTTTTGGCTGGAGAGCACAACAGTGTTTTATACCTGTGAACTTCTGGTACGAGTTAGTGGTTCCAAGAGGCAGCATCGATTTTTGCAAAACGTTGCACGATATGGGAGCCGAGATGGTTGGCTCCGTGACTCCCGTCCAGCCAGGCATATTTTCATTGGAAACCTGCTGGCTTAGAATCAGACCGCATGATAACGATGATTTAGCGGTTTTCATGCATGGGTCACTCAATATTACTCGCACGCGGTATCCATGTCACTCGGGGCGAAGAAAAGTGCGACAGTGGTTCATTTAAGTGAAGTGTTTTGTCCGCAACAGCACATGCGTGTTGCCGTATGTATAAGCAGATTGTCGTGCTTTGAGACTGACTTTGGCAATACGGAAGCGTCTTTGGCAATACGGAGCATCTTTACTACACCATTCCTTATGTGGAATACTGTTCTCGTCCTCTTCTTTCAAAGCTCATCTGTATTTAGCGGAGTCTACGTAGGCAAGTACTCACTCATTTTCTCTGCACATACATCGAGCCCCTAACCACGCGCCATTAAGTTCCTATCACCATCCCAAACACTGCCAGACACATTCGCGGGTTGTAATTCGTACCTGACACATAAAAACCAAGCCAAGCTCCTGACGTTAAACTCAAGGGTCCAGGAGCGATGCAAACTCCACGTCAATGGTCTCGCTACCTCCCAAAATATTGGCTTCCGGTATCTTGCCTACAGATCAAGAGCTGTTTTCAATCCTAGCATTTTTACTTGCACCAGCTGCACCTAACCATCACGCTCACTTCATGTTCACTCCTATAAAGGTTAATAATTAATCACATAAATGCTCAAAGGCACTGTCCTTTATTGACCTGCACACATAAATCATGTGATCATCTTTCTTTACCTCTCAAGGCAAAAAAAAAATGCACTTAATCATTCGTCCTTGTGCTCAAATAAAACCGCAAGTGCTGTCCATCAAAGTGCATTTTTTTGCAGGCATCATAAATCATGAGCGCACGAATGGTGGCATCAGCTTGACAGGACCGAAAGGTTCGCAGGCATGGTCAGCCGCTGTGTCAGGCACGGTCAGCCGCGGTGTCAGGCATCGTCAGCTGCGGTGTCAGACACGGTCAGCTGCGGTGTCAGGCACGGTCAGCCGCGGTGTCAGGCACCGTCAGCTGCGGTGTCAGGCACGGTCAGCTGCGGTGTCAGGCATGGTCAGCCGCGGCGTAAGACATGGTCAGCCGTGGTACCATGGTCAGTCGCGGTGTCAGGCATGGCCAGCTTAGCGTCAGATGTACAAAGCAGGGGTGTGGAATACGGTGTCAGACGGCATGAACTTGGACTGAAGTACGGGCATTCATTTGACACTGAATCAAACTTCGACTCATCACAGTGGACCCGGACCCAAGCTCTTCCAGCTGGCATATAGTAGAGAAGAAAAAAAGAAGTATTCACTGACGGTGAAACCTATTATTTCAAACAAACACTGTCTCCGAAATGTTTTGGTACTAAGCGCGGTAATGTTAGAGGCTAGGTTAGGTTTGTTTTACATCACATTGCATTAGATTTACGGACCAAAACCTGCGAAGGCTTTATTCATGGTGGTTCCTTTCCCTGACAACCCGAAAGGAAAGTATCATGGCTCCGTGCGACCCCGCAAAGAACTGATGGACACAACGTCACTGCCGTAGGACTGAGACTGTGACCCGAACTCCTAGTAGGACTCGGACTCATGCGCTGTGAAAACGAGCGAGCTCAGACTCGTAGCCAATGATCTAGGATTGGGTCCAGAGAGCTGCTGCAAAGGACGGGTTCAGGGCCCAGACCCAGACTGAAGGCATCAGGAGTCCGGCTCGGAATCGCACTAATCGTGTCCGGCCAGATCGACGTAACTCTCAGTCTCTGTCTTGCGTGCTATTAGATTTAGCCTAAGGTGATGCCACACAAGGAAATCGTCGGCATCGTATTTAGTGCACCATCCTGTCAAGCGTAATCCAACATGACATCACACGTGCTGAACGCAGGAACTCATCTGTATTCAGAAATTGTCCTGAGTTCCGGTCAAAACGAGCGCCGTAGAAATCCTTCCGATTGATGAAAACGACATTCACCACTGTCCAGGCCGAACCCACACGCGGAGCAGGCAAGCGGTGTGTTTCTCTGCGGAGGTTATTGCGAAGGCGGCCCACCGCCGCCGCTGCCCCGCTCCGGCCCTCGCCGGCAGGGCCGGGTCGGCTTTGCTCAACTCAATCGGTGGTGTACCGTAGCATAGTCTTTGTCTTCACCTCTTGGGAGTGTTCGGAAGTGTTGATAATTTGTTTCGTCGTCCGGTTGCGCTGCCGGCTGTCTTGGAAGCCTGCGCAGAGAGCACGGCGGTGATGTCACACGTAGACGCACTGCGCCGCCGGGAAGGTGAACACGCGGGAACACACCGCGCCGCCGGGATGGTGAGCACGCGGGAACACACTGCGCCGCCGGGATGGTGAGTATGCGGGAACACACTGCGCCGCAGGGACGGTGAGCACGCGGGAACACACTGCGCCGCAGGAACGGTGAGCACGCGGGAACACACTGCGCCGCAGGGACGGTGAGCACGCGGGAACACACTGCGCCGCAGGAACGGTGAGCACGCGGGAACACACTGCGCCGCGAGGATGCTGAGCACGCGGGAACACACTGCGCCGCAGGGACGGTGAGCACGCGGGAACACACTGCGCCGCAGGAACGGTGAGCACGCGGGAACACACTGCGCCGCAGGGACGGTGAGCACGCGGGAACACACTGCGCCGCAGGAACGGTGAGCACGCGGGAACACACTGCGCCGCGAGGACGCTGAGCACGCGGGAACACACTGCGCCGCAGGGACGGTGAGCACGCGGGAACACACTGCGCCGCGAGGACGCTGAGCACGCGCGTCACACGTTTCAACGCGCACTGTACGTGTGTATAGACGATAGAGCCCAGAGACAAGGCACCGCACACTGCCCAAAGCCCAAAGTGTGACGTCTGCAGCCTGATAACTTCTTACTCAGCATTTTCTCAAATCACTGATGACGTGCAACGTGGACCAGGGGTGGTGCAGTAGGGGGGGGGGGGGGCAGGGGTCAGCGCCCTCCCGCCCCCCATGCCGACAGGGGCAAAAGTACGTTCTTGTCTCTCAAAAGTTTGGGGTCTTTTCACCTCAACTAAAGGATTTATATATAACTAGCATAGCTTTCCAAAATTCAGATAAGGGTGCGACCATAACGGAGCTAGAGGGTGCTGAACCGGACTCAAAAGACTCGTTCCCTGCATCAAGAGGCCCGTTTTCTGGATCATTGGATCACCTTTCTGAATCAGTGGACCATACTCGAGATCAGCGGACCCGCTTTTGTGTTAGAGAGGCTCTTTGTTGGCCCAGGAGGCCCCGTTTATGAACAAGAAGATCCCTGTTCCGGATTAGGCGGAACCCTTTACACATTGGAGGAATTATTTTGAGAGAACAGGAGGCCCCTTTCATGTGTGAGATGGCCACAGTCATGGATCGTGATGCCCCGTTTTGGGATAACGAGGTCGTTTGCTTGAATTGGGGACCTCTTTGTGAATCGGAAGGGTCTGTTGTGGTCCAGGAGGCCCATATATGAATTATGAGGTCCTCTCCTTTTTCGGAACAGGAGACCCTGTTTTCGGACAGGAAGGCCTTTGCTGGGTGGAGGAGGTCCCTGCATTGATCAAAATACCCTAATCTTGATTATTTACCTCAGACATTTATTTACATGAATATTCATACCTGAAACAGTTGGATAAGGGAGTACATGCCCCACGGCGCCCACCCCTTGCCCAAGAGACCTCCTGTGAGGAAACCTCATTTTGTCCAGCAGGCCCTCTGGATGCCCCCCCCCCCCCCACACCAAACCTAAAATCTGTGGCGCCACCCATCCCGAGGACCACAGAACTGCGTGGTCGACTCAGTTCAGTGGTAGGTGTTGTCTGTGCATGGGTGTGCCCAGTGCAGCGCTGCCAGCGAGCATTCCTTGTGGTCCAGTAGTCGTGCGCTAGAACACCGGCAGGCAGTCGCGCGAGCCATACGGAGTCTGGGCGTCATTGCAGCTTTGAACGCAGTATTTAGGCAACAACGCGAGAATGAGTTTCTAGCTGTGCGGAATTTTAAAATTATGCCTGCGGTGATAGATGGAACAACATGTACGAATGATGTTTTCCAGCCTCAGGAGTCCCGAAAGATGAACTCAAGAGTGAGCCGGAACCAGTGCATAAAGCTGACCTTATAACCAGCATGCGGGCTGCCGTGGTTGGCCGCTAGTGATGGAGCCTGACCGGACTGTCCGCATCGCGCTCGACGCCGACACGTGCTCCACCACACCTCGGGCCGTGCCCCACCACACCTCGGGCCGTGCCCCACCACACCACGGGCCGTGCCCCACCACAACTGGGGCCGTGGCCCCACACACCCGACCCTGGCGGCCAAAGCGGCGAGGGCGCCACAGGCGTACCTGGTCCGCGGTCTTGGTGCGAGGAAGTCTCGTGCATTACGCCGCTGGCCTGGCTTTGGTTGTCATCGGTGCGCGCCTGGTCAAGCCGCGTCGCCTTCACACTGATGTTCGGCAGCGAGCCGGCCGGACGCACGTCGCTGGTCTTCACCACCTCTTGGGACACCACCTCGGTGCGGCCGTGGGAGAGGTTGGTGCGCTCGCCCCGCGACTGCTCTGCGGTGCCAGCACGAGGATAATGCTGAGAGTCTGTAGCTTGGGGCGCGACTGAGGGCCGCTGAAATGCTGTAGCTACTGAAGGCCGCTCAGGACAAGGCAGACAGTTCTGGAGGTATTAACAGGAGGTGCGGAGGGTGAAGGTTGGGAGTGCTGTAGCTCTGGACGAGGTTGGAGGTGCTGTGTGGCACCGGACGGGCTGAAGTTACTGTGGCGGCGGACTGGCTGAAGGTGCTGCACCAGCGGACGGGCTGAGAGACCATGGCGGCGGACCGGATGAAGGTGTTGTATCTGCGGACGGACTAAGAGATCGTGGCGGCGGGCTGGCTGAAGGTGCCGTATCTGCGGACGGGCTGAGAGACAATGGCGGCGGACCGGATGAAGGTGTTGTACCTGCGGACGGACTAAGAGATCGTGGCGGCGGGCTGGCCGAAGGTGCTGTATCTGCGGACGGATTGAGGACGGTGGGGTCAGACGGGCTGAGGTGCTGTAGCTACGTGCAGGCTTATGGTGCTGTAGCTGCGGTCCGGTATGAGGGGTAACGGTCATAAGGATTGGGCTGAGTGGCTGCACGAGCCCCGCAAACTTTCCCTCAGCTAGACTGCACCTCTTGTAGTCAGACTTGAAAACATTCTCATCCGGGCGAAAAGATCAGAAATGGATAATTGATGCAAACAAACAGAAAATGAGCACTCTCTCTGCCGTTATGACCTCCAACGAGTGCGCACAGTGGACAGTGGTCAATGGGCTCCATGAATGGTTAAACCTACAAACGGATTCGTGCACAAATTTCAGGGAACTGTTGACTGACAAGCTAGGCAATCGAGCCGTCATTTTAAAACAGTTTACTTGCTCCCGCGGTGCCGACTCGCGCGCGTGGGCCGCGCAGGAGTGGCGCCTCGCCCGAGTCAGGGCGGCGTGGGGACCAGAATGAGCTGGCCGGTTCCGTTGGCGTCAGGACTGACTTGTCACGTCTCTCTCGCAGCTGGTCTGCGCGCAGGTGGTGAGCGTGCGGGACGCGTCAGCAGTGCTGGTGGCGTTCGTCCCCCGTCGGGCGGTGACAGAGTCCGAGGTGCGCTCATTTCGGCCGATGCTGACCGTGCCTGTGCCAAGACGAACCCGGATCAGCCGGCTGTCAATCGTATTCCTTTTCTCCTTGGTCTAGATGAAGTCCATCCTTTTTGAACTGACAGCACTGGGTTAATTGGGTGTCAATCGCATTCATTTTCCCTTAGTATAGATCAAGTCCAAACATTTTGAACTGAATAGCTTTTGGAATCGGTGTTCACGTTATGTGATGCTTGCTACATGGCCCTGACCCCACCATCCGGTCGGGAAATCCCAGTTCAAGGGCAGAATTTTATGGTGCCAGCTTAGCGTGTCGCACGCTCGGCAAGACCCGGCCCACCTTGAGCAGCCACCGCCACAGGCCGCAGGTCAGCCTAGCCAGAGGCAAATAGCAAGCAACGAAGCGATTCAAACCCACCCACTGCGTGCGTTGGGTGGCAGGCGCTCTGACGTACTGACCTACGGGGCGGATTTCATAGCCGGCTTTCAGTAATGCCTCAGATTATGTGAAATTATGGTTATATGTGATTTGAAATGCCATCGGACCATCAGCCATTTTTGCCACGAACTGGAACACGAGACGAAGGTTTTTATGCTTTGCTCGGTGAGAGGAGCAGCGGACCTGATCAGCGCCTAATCGCACAGCTGTACAGGACACTAAGATCGAGGCCTGCAGACCCGCTGCTTCCCACGGATCGCTGAGACCGTCAAACAACACAAGATGCACTGGGGAATCCGGCCTGTTCGGCGCTACGTGACGTGGGTGCAGGGAGCCACGCCATTGAGGAATCCAAGCCAGTCGAAGTGATGAGGTTGTTATTAGTCCGAGATGACCTACAGACAGCTCGCATCAAGACCGGTTCAGAACTACGAGACAGCGATCGGGCCTTACGGTACCGAGGGGCCCGCGCGCTTTCAAAACCTCCTCAGACAAACAGGGTCACAAGGCGGTATCAGCTCAAAGGTCACGGTTCAAGTCAAAAGGCGAAGCTAGCGGTACCGACAGTGTAGTGGTTATGCTGCGCGTCGCGGAAACCAGGGGTGCGGGTGCGATTTTACGCGGTGCCCGCCCTTCTGCCAGGGCGACAGGCAGGCGACTTCTGTAGTCTCAGCAGGTGGATGCGTCGTAAAGCCGGAGTGATAAAAATGGCGGGGTCAGGCCCCTGGAACCTCCAAAGGGCCCGAGCAAAAACAAAACCAACGATAGCACTACTGCCGGGACGGGTATAGAGCTCCTCAGCAGCAGCAGGGCCTTAGATGACCGCTCTTGCCGGGGGTGCACCGGGACAATCAACAATCTACCGGGAGAGAGTCGGTTGGAGGTGCAAACCCCATGGGGTGTTTAGCACATTGTCCCAGAAGGTGTGCCCGTCGGAGGGCCTGGAAAGAGTGGCTGTGCGCGGTGGGGTGAAAACAGAGCAGAACCCAAGTCGTCTGCACCATCAAACGACGGCTAAGGAGACATGGATGCACGCCATCACACAACAAGCCCGACACGAGCATGAGGGGGTCCACACGGGGGGATAGCCCGAGAGCGAGAAGTCAAAGGTCATTGGCCGCTGTCCAGACCTAGACTGGGGTCGTGACTGGTGAACCTGGTGCTGGTTCTGGTGGTGTCGTTACGGCCCCTGATCTGCTCGACGCCTGTGGACAGGCTGCCGCCGGTGCTGACGTTCCGCCGCGTGGTCCCGCCTGGAAGGAAGACCACAGCGTCAACTGCTGCCCCAGCCAGATACTACTGTCTTGCGCTCATCTGACCACTGTCGGCAGTAAGCATCACAAATAAGGATCCTCGGGCTGCAACAACCGCTGATAGGGGTTTTCCGTAGCTGCCAAGGAGCACCAGCCGGAAATGGTCCGCACGGCTAGTCCCCCAGCGTCTCTCATATCCCCAGATGAGAGCGGGCACAGACCACCGCCCGGACATTACCCGGTGGAGTGGCGGCAGCTGGTGCCGCCGCGGCTGGGCCGCACTCACCGGGGGTGGTGAGCTCGCTGTGCCCGGCGCGCCGCTCGTTGGTGGAGCGCAGACGCGTGTCACGGATGAGGTGGGTACCGTTGCGCTCGCTGGCCGTCAGAGAGGCGGTGCCGTTCACCGGGCCGCTCAGGCCCGGCAGCAGCTCTGCAGACACGGCCGGACGCCCAGCGCTGCCTGAGGCCACTCCCACCGCCCACGTGCGCCCGTCCGCACACATCCATGCACGTCTGCGCCGTCTGAGTATGTCACATCGGTCTGACGTTAGTCGCCTGTTCACTAGTTACTCATGAACGCTGAGGTTAAGAGCGCGGTGGCTTAAGCATGGACAGGTCTGGCCGCCGGCAAGCCCAGCGCAGACGCGGTGACCGGCCGTGGCCTGCACCAACCTCCGGCTTTGTCGCCGCGTGACTTGACGGACCGCGTGGCGTTTCTGGAGTCCTCAGCGCTCCGCTGCAGCGTGCTCCTGTTCTCCGTGACGTTTCGGGCCACATCGTCCTGCATGTATCCCGCTGCAGGCATGCCTCAGCTGTACGACACCCACTGGTAATGTTCACATGGCGATCCTACCCAGCGCTGCATGTCGAGGCAGAAGGGTCGACACTCGGAAGGTTATGATCCGGACAATTTTCGTCACCATTTCATTCTATGACATGAACAGTTGTAAGTTGTTCAGTGCGTTAGCGAGGAGCATTGTTCACATAGATAAGACAGTAGTATTAGCCTTATTCCTCGGAGAAAACCAGGAGAATGGAGATATACTTGGGTTACGCAACAATATCTCCATTCTCCTGGTTTTCTCCGAGGAATAAGGCCAATACTACTGTCTTATACACGAGCAGTTGGTCCCAGTACAGGATTTTATTGCATCCATGTTCTGTTCAAGCTGGACGCTACCCGTTTTTCTTTCCTGCGCAGGAAAAAAATGTACACGGTACTGTTCAGCGATGCACTTTTGGTGGGTTACTAACATTTTGTATGCGATATTGCTGGCAGGGCTATTCGATTCGGTCCTAGCCGCATTGTTGAAAAATGCTGGCTATTCAGATCAGCCTCGCGCCAGTGTAGCACATACGATTTGAGTGTGAGGAAGCCTGGCAAAGAGCTTTATTTTTCTTTGCATTCGATTATGTGCTGACACTGACCTCGCATATCGGTTCAGTGAAGCTGACACTGACGTGGTATGTCGGGCTGGTGAGGCTGACACTGACCTCGCACGTCGGTCCAGTGAAGCTGACACTGACGTGGTATGTCGGTCTGGTGAGGCTGACACTGACCTCGCACGTCGGTCCAGTGAGGCTGACACTGACCTCGCACGTCGGTCCAGTGAGGCTGGCACTGACCTTGGACGCCGATCCAATGAGGCTGACACTGACCTCGCATGTCGGTTCAGTGAGGCTGACACTGACCTTGGACGCCGATCCAGTAAGGCTGACACTGACCTCGCATGTCGGTTCAGTGAGGCTGACATTGACGTGGTATGTCAGTCTGGTGAGGCTGACACTGATCTCGCACGTCGGTCCAGTGAGGCTGACACTGACCTTGGACGCCGATGCGGTGAGGCTGACACTGACCTCGCATGCCGGTCTGGTGAGGCTGACATTAACCTTGGACGCCAATCCAGTGAGGCTGACACTGACCTCGCGCGTCGGTCCAGTGAGGCTGACACTGACCTTGGATGCCGGGCCGGGCGAGGTTGCGCCTGGTGGAGCTGTTGTCGTTGATGCCGATGGTGACGGTGGTGTTCAGAGCTGTGGTCATGGAGCCGACTCCGCCGGTGCTGGATGTTACGATCAGAGAGCCCGAGATCGAGCCCGATGCTGCTGGAGAGGGGGGGGGGGGGGCTGTCATCAGCACTGATGCCGTTACGCTGCATCAGCTGCACAGGGAGGGGGGGGGGAGGACTGGAAGAGAAGCGGACATGCTGGTGCACCATGGCACATGATCACACGCCTACCAAGGTGATACCGTCATGATGGGGTGTTGCAACGTTCTCGGCGTGAGTAAATAGATCGACTGCAATGTGTCCAACAACGACACGTACATTCAGGTGGCCGGCATAGACGCCCACTTACGCCGAAATATTTGAGTGCCGACGCTGGTGACTTGGCGCGAGAGGCGGTTCCCGCTAACATCCGTTGTGGAGTCGTTGCGGATGTTGGTCCTTCGTCTTTGGGTACCATCGGCTGAAGAGGACAAGTCAGCTTACGGCCGGTGCGATCGGGGACAGCACCATCTAGGTTTGGAGTCGCTCGCTGACCTGTAACACTCAACACCCAAAGTACCATGCCTGAGCTGCGATGTTTCCCTCAGGTATCAGTTAGCGAGCATGCTGCACTGCTAGTTTGACTGCCCTGAATCAGACCTTGTGCGCTCTGATTCGTTCACTGACCTCCGATGGGCCTGTTGCTGATGTGGCTGGTGTCGCCGGTGTCGGTCGTTATGACACCGAACGCCGAGTCCTCCGACCTTCTCCTCACTGTGTTGATCGTCAAGGCCAGCGCTGAAAGCGCACGCGTCCGTGACACAGCTGCAGTGAGACAGCTGCAGTGACACAGCTGCAGTGACACAGCTGCAGTGACATAGCTGCAGTGACACAGCTGCAGTGCTCGCCAACAGCGCATCGCTGACAGCTGTGCTTAATATGGGCTGATACTTTTGCACTAAAAAACAGTCCGGCATTTTTCAGCAGCGTTGACGTTTCCTATTTCAAATTCACGGCGTCCACCAGTGCTGCGCGGTAGTCACTGTATTTCTCTTAGTTTGCTGAATCGTATGTTTGCTATAGGCGCTCGGGTATTCCAAGTGTTTCTGATCAGGATTGAGAGGTGTGGAGACGCGACTCCTGTCAAAAGAAGCTCTAACTGACCTCGTTTTCATCCGTACTCGGCAGCGTTAATCACATTGGCAGCTGCATGCCTTACTCAATGACTAGGCTTGATCATCATGGTTGAATTAGTCCTCTTGCACTCTTTTGTAAGCCCAACTGCATTTAATGCGCATGCAGGCAATCCACATCAGAGCGTTTATGGCGCTGAGAAGAAACTGGACTAAGCTCACCTACGTAAAACAGTAGGCCCTTTCATTCGGTTATTTTCTTACTTACGTTATCTGCAGAGCAAACTCAGGTGATTTCATCACGATAGCATTAAGGTTATTCAATGTATAAATGTCGTCTGCAAAACAAATAAAAATCTGTCAAATAGTACACGGATAGAACGTCAGTCTTTGCTCCTGTTGAAAACGCTAGGCTGGCAGTAGGTTCAAGAACATCCGAGCTACAATGCCTGATGGTATTCTGACCCAATAAGGCTTTGGTTGGCCTTAATGTTGATCTAGTTTTTATAAGACCTTTGTTCCGTACGGGGGTAGCGCCACGGATTTTGATTTGTGGGCAGACTTTTCCAAGCAGGATGGGGCTGGGTGAAATGGTGCCTCTTCACAAGGGTGCCGTGGACAGTGTCACATTCAGGGGAGGTACACTGGAGGCAAACACGTCCCTGTATGAAATATTTATATGCACCAATTGTTATGCGAATAAACAACGCAGCTCACAAATCCCGAACAGGGGCCACCTGATGGATGCAGGGGGTTCATGATCCAGCAGGTATCCGTGTATCTATGTATCTATCTATACTATACTATCCATACTCTCTATACTATCTATACTCTCTATATCTATCTATCTATACTATCTATATATCTATCTATTTTCGCTGTATATCAGGTTTCCCTATCACAAGGCATGGCCTCCTTTCCCATAACAGAGCTTTCTGGTGCATAGAGAAGCCTCCTAATTCGGAGCACGATCCGTCGCAAAAGGGCCTCGAAATCGGGACAGGGCCTCATCATTGCAAAACAGGACATCCTGATAAGAAGCGGCGGCATCCTGACGCATAGCAGGCGCCTACTATTCTAAAATAGGAGCATCCTAGCGTATAGAAGGTGCCTCCTAATCCAGATCAGGGATCACCAATTTATAAAAGAATCTCCCTAGCCAGCAAAGGACAAAATAGGCTCCCCTGATCCAAAACCATTCAGAGCTATTCAGATGAACGACAAACAGCGACGAAGAATCTATTTCAAGGTTTTTTTTTCTTGATGGACAGAAAGCCATGGTAACGAACCACAAGGTGTCCCACTAATGTCGGCGGGCGTTAAATGGTGGTGAAGAACCGAAAATTTTATAAACTGACCTTTTATTCAATTATCAGTAGGATAAGCTGGCACTCGCATTCTTCTGGAGCGGACCACCTGTCGCGTGGGCTCATGAATTGGGTCACTTGCCACGTGAGTACGTGGAGTGGGTTTCCTGCCGCGTGGGTATGTGGCGCGTCGCAGGTGAAGTTACTCACAGATTCTGAAGACGGTCAGGCACGTGGGTTCAAGCAAACACCGGTGGCAGCTGGCACGAGGACTGCAACGGATGCGGAGCCGCTGGCTCGCACAGGCCCACTTGGTCATACTGAAACAGCACACCGTATACGCTTCGCAAATCATAACGAAAGCAGAGGCACCTGAAGAGCTTCGGCTCACCAAAATTACTTCAATTTTATCATTTTCAGCGGGAGAACGTTCAATACATTCAACGCTCAATATACTGACAGGATCTGGTTGGAAAAGAATATCAAGCAATTATTGGGATACATTGTGAGAACATTCAACGCTTCAGCCGTCCTCAGAGTCTCAGCGCACAAGACTGATCCAAAATGGCAAAATAACGGCCAAAAGCACGTGAAAGGCGTCCAAACCTGTGCAGACCCTGACAGTTCAGATATACCAAAATATTCATCGTTCAAGCTCATGTATCGCAAAACGACATATTAGCGCTCGTTGCACACTATACTCTCCGTAACCCGGACGACAAAGAATACATAGTGCGGAGGTTATTCATGACGTCATAGATTCAGCGCCATTCGGTGTCCACAGCGCTCCGGACGACACAGACTCTCCGTGACGTCACGCAACATCCTTGCCGGCCGCACAGAATCTTTTTCTGTTATTTGGGGCGCGTTCGGCCGGCAGATCTCCTCGAATCATCAGGAATGTTAGAAAATTCGCCGGAATTGTGGTTGGCACTGCCAACACGGAGAATATCGCAGACAATTTCCCGTGCTTATGAATAGTCCTGAACAATGTTAATAGACGTAGATTCTTTTTGCCATGCCAATGGCTGTTGACTAACATGCACCTGTGCATCAGGGGTGTCGTTTTCTGGAAACTCGTGCCCAAAGTCCAATCCAAATTTATGATTCATTTGTTTGCACAGGCCAGCTGTTCGTGCAAAAATGTCCAAAAGACCGGGATGTCCAAAATCTATAGCTGACCCTATGCGCGTCAGTGTATTCCCTCACTCGCATAGAATGAAGCGAGAGAAAGTGATCGTGGGTAAGTAATGTGTATCTGCATTAAATAAGTCGAGATTCATACCAATTTGCGATAGGTCAGAATGATATCAGACGTCAAATCACGATCAAGATTTTCTGTGCCTGTTCATCCAAAATTCTAAACTGGACTTTGGAAATGTTTGGAATTCCCGAAGTTTAAAACCCATTTGGCACCCTCATTATGCATGGCGCATGCGAGACGAAGCTTAGTGATGATTCCGAACCTGTCGAACGCAATTTTAGAGAAACACCATGGATGATTACCGAACACAAAAATTGTTATTTATGGACGGGCAAATTTCCCTCAGTCAAACGCACTCTTTATCGAAGTGAGAGAGAAGTGGTGTGAGAGAATCATCCCCTCCTGACCACGGAAAATACAGGGATCACACCACCAAGCGGGGACCGTGGACTCCCAGCGCTCTGGCGCCGGCTACACGGGGTAGGCACAGGAACATGGGCAGAGAGTGATCAGAGGGACCGGTTGTCCGAGGTACTCCGGATCGTTGCCTTGTGACAGCCGCAGGCGGCGGAAGGACGCGCAGCGCGGACAGAACCGGTGGCAGCGCGGGGTTGGCCAACTCCGACGCGGTGCTGATCCTGAACGCGACTGTCCCATCAAGGTCCGGCCATCATGGTCCGGCCACTAAGGCGGCGATTGTCATTCCAAGTCCGCCCGCAGCAGCCGATTGATGTGTCGGTGCCACAGATGTCTTGCCCATCGTCAACGTGATGCGATACAGGGCCAGTTTGAAGGACAGCTCGTCCTTTCTTCCATTTCGGTCCAGCGTGGCTGCCAGCCCAAACATCACCCACATCCCACCGACACATCTTGGAGTCTGTCAGCAGGCGTCGCCGGAGATCCTGAGACCCGTTCTCGTCGCCCGGGAACATCATGTCCAGGTGAGTACGGATGTTGCGACCAAGCATCAATTCTGCTTGAGTTTTACTGCCCGCCGACGGAGTGCCCCGGTACATGACGAGAACGTGGAACAGCCGCTCCTGCATGCTGCCCCCAGATGACAGCATGCCTTTCAAGCCATTCCTCACGATCTGTGGCGAGAACGCGGAACAGCCGCTCCTGCATGCTGCCCCCAGATGACAGCATGCCTGTCAGGCCATTCCTCACGATCTGTGGCGAGAACGTGGAACAGCCGCTCCTGCATGCTGCCCCCAGATGACAGCATGCCTGTCAGGCCATTCCTCACGATCTGTGGCGAGAGCGCGGGACAGCCGCTCCTGCAGGTCGTCCCCAGATGACAGCATGCCTGTCAGGCCATTCCTCATGATCTGTGGCGAGAACGCGGAACAGCCGCTCCTGCAGGTCGTCCCCAGATGACAGCATGCCTGTCAGGCCATTCCTCATGATCTGTGGCGAGAACGCGGAACAGCCGCTCCTGCAGGTCGTCCCCAGATGACAGCATGCCTGTCAGGCCATTCCTCATGATCTGTGGCGAGAACGCGGAACAGCCGCTCCTGCAGGTCGTCCCCAGATGACAGCATGCCTGTCAGGCCATTCCTCACGATCTGTGGCGAGAACGCGGAACAGCCGCTCCTGCAGGTCGTCCCCAGATGATAGCACGCCTTTCAGGTCATTCTTCAAGATCTGGATAGCGCGTTGGGCCAGGCCATTACTGGCTGGATGGCAGGGCGCAATGCGAATGGGTCTAATGCCGCTGTCGGACAAAAAAAGTGAGGGGATTCCCTGGGTTGGAACGGGACCCATTGCCGCTGACAAACTCTCTGTGAAGCCCAAACTGCGTGAAGAGGCGGCGTATTTCGTGGGTCGCGGAACTCGCAGAGGTCTGTTGCATAGCAGTCGTATTCATCCCTTTGAAAAAAGTATCAACCATCACAAAAATGGTTGCGTTGCTGAAAACAGCAGCCACTGTGGCGCCGCTGCTACGGCCCACTGGCCGACGGCTAGTCGAAATTCTGATCATATGAGTACTGAACCTGATGTGATCGTCAGCATCCAGTGAGCACTGAGCCTTGGACAGTCATACGCATCGTGTGTCACTGGAGCTGGAACAATCATCAGCATCAGGTGATTGCAGGAGATCGGACGGCCTTCAGCGATCAGAGTCGGACTGGAGGGCCTATTCGGGTGAGTTCCTTTCTTCACTTTTGTCCCAAAGCAGGGGTAGGAGGACCATTTTGGAGGACTCCTGCTTTGAGCCCTTCCTCGGAACACCTGCCTCAACACCCCTGCCCGATGCTGAGGACCGTCCGATCTCCTGCGATCACCTGATACTGGCGATAGTTCGACCTTCGATGATGCACGGTGCCTATGATAGTCCAAGCTCCAGTGCTGACCAGCTACTGACGACCGTATCAGTTTCAGTGCTTACATGGCCATACTTTTTCTTTAAAAAAATGAACTATGAAAACGGTCCTTGTCCTACTTCTACCGAATTCGACGACGAAAAAAAAACAGAATTATGCTTATGGGCCCCCGCAGCTTAGTCGGTAAGAGCGCTTGCTTCCTGGCCAACCCGTGGCGGGATGGGAGGGTTCGAGTCGCTTCAGCGTCTGCTATTTTCCTCTGGTTGGTATGGCCTGCGGCCAGTGGTAGTGACCTTTAAGGTCAGACGAAGTCTGGGGGCGAGGGAATCGTGTCGAGCATTGCCGCCATTTAGACTTTCGCCGTACATTCTGCATTGGAACTGGGATTTCACGATCGGTTGTTGGGGTCCGGGCCAACATGCAAAGCGCTGGTAAGTGTCAGCTCTGACCCAAGAAATACACTCCATCAAAATGTTCCGACTAAATTTGCGTGAAAACAAACATGCAAAAAGTGTTCTGGTGCCGGTCGAAGAGGTAAGGTATATTTTGTCGCAAGATTTTTGTAGAATGAGGCTGTTCTTGAAGATGGATCAACGTCAAGGGTCACGAGCCACGACAAGGGTCTGGGCAAAACGTTTTCGCCTGGCTGGATCGCAGAACGCGGTATTTAGCGCATATAGATTAATGCAGTCCGGCAGTGGCGTCCGTAATGGCAAAAGCACGCTGGCCTGCAAGTTAGCAAATATCTGCGAAGCTAACATAACTTTCTAAACGTAGGCTGTTTCCACGAAACCCCGCGCAAAGGCTCAGCGCAGTGCCGCAGTGTCTTGCGGCATGTTTGTCACCTTCCAAATATTCGCAGATGTGGGAAACACGTGTAGTGATCAAGGAGCCCGGCCATGAAAAATGGATGAAAAGACGCGGTTTTTAGCTACGTGTAACGATGCATATATGTGCTCCATGCGATTCGGTGCTCGTCTCTTGGCTCCCCTCCCCCCCCCCCCCCCCCATCCGCCTAGGTCGGGCGAGAAAAAGCGGCAGCGCAGGGGCGGATAAAAGTGAGGAACAACTGTGGCAGTCATTCCTGACAGCACACTGACGAAGCAAAACATGTCCCTTTAAGCTTGAGCTTCGGGGAAGTGTTGCTGTCCTTCAAGCAATCCCGAACGTCAGCAAGATTGTGTCCTTCCTTTAAGATTGTGCTAGAATTCGCCCTTGATCGGCCGACAGGCCTTCGAAGAATTGCTGAGACGACGGCTTCCCCATGCGCTGATGTCCATATTGGGGTTGGGTGATATGGACGTTCACACACAGCTCATCTGATGCTTATGATCATCCTCGTGCCAGTGATTGCCCTCGTCATCGCTCACATCTAATCCTTGTGATCGTCTTTCTTGCCTCAGTTTTAACGCTCACACCAGATGCTGATAGCCGTCCAAGCTCCAGGTCTCACCTGATACTAATGACCCTCTCCGTTCCAAAGTTTACATAATGCCGATCGCTACCCGAGCTCCAGTGCCCACATGATGTCAACGAGCATCCAAGATCCCGTGCAGCCCCGACGTCCTTACAACTGCCTCAGCTCTAGCGTACGCATGATGCTAATGATTGGAAATCAGCCCCCGTACTCATCCGATGCTGGAGACGACCCCAGCTCCAGAGGTCACCTGAAGCTGATGGCGTTCAGTTCCAGCACTCGCGTCATGACGATGGTCGTCCCATGCGTTCAGCGCCCTCCTCGTAATGGTGATTGCTCTAACCCAAACGCCCGCCCGGTGGTGACTGTCCCTGCTTCCGGACTTAACTGGTGATAATAATAGTCACATCTCCAGTGTTTCCTGATGTGATAACCGTCCCAGCTGTGGTGTTCGCCTGTTGTGATAACCATCCCAGCTGCAGCGCTCACCTGTTGTGATGACCGTGGCAGCTACGGTGCTTACCTGACGTGATGACAATGACAGCTACGGTACTCACCTGATTTGATGACCGCCCCAGCGGGAGTGCTCACCCGATGTGATAACCGTCCCATCCTTAATGTTCACCTGATGTGATGGCCGTGGCACCTGCAGGGCTCATCTGATGTGATGGCCGTGGCACCTGCAGGGCTCATCTGATGTGATGACCGTGGCAGCTGCAGTGCTCACCTGATGTGATGACCGTGACAGCTGCAGTGCTCACCTGATACGAACGGCCATGGAGTAGCGGTCTTCATGACAGCGCTTCTGACACTCGGCCAGGGTGGTGACACCGGCCAGCGGCTTCGGCACCTGGGCCAGTGGCATCGTGCAGCAGTAGCCCTCTGCAGTACGGTAACCGCGTCAGGCATATCTCACCGGTTCGGCCCGTTTGCAGTCACTGCAACCCTGCTCATGACGCTCATGACACACGTGACACTTCGTGATCGACATATTCTCCTGATGTTTGTGTTACCTGATGGCTGAACTAAACATGCTGGGAACTTGTGGGTCACAAAACAAAATGTTTGTATGTCGTCAAGGTTCCGTATGCCAAGTGCGGTCATCGGGCGATTTGACCGTTACGTCACGTCGTGCCGTGACATCACCGGTTACCCGTTATGTTGGTTTGTCAGCTGTGCCACAAGGATGTGCAGGAGTCATCTGATTGGACAAGAGTTGATGACGTCACTAGAATAAGCGGCTCTATGACCGCTAAAGGGATGAGAGGGGCTCGGTATGCCATATGTTTATCAAACCGCTTTATGTTTTAGATAGCATATTAGCATGTTCAATGCGATATGGTTATCGTGTAAAATCAATGAACACCTGATACGCAAATGGTCACCCTATTTCCATTTTCCACTTAGCCATGACCATGGAAAAATACGGCCATGCCCTAGACTCACCTTTGGCAAGAGAGGTCGTTTCTCCGGGGAACGGTCCCATGGTGCGGTCTCCGAGCGGTGGTAACTCTTTGCGAATCACTGAAAGCGGATCAGAGCGCGCGTCAAGGCGCCAGCAGTGGTCGACGAGCGGGACGACTGGGCTGCCAGCCGTCAGGGCTCAGCCCAGCCGCTGCACTGTCCAGCTCCTCGCGGTGTCCTGGCTGCTCTCGAAAGATCCGTATGAGCGTAAGTCTCAGAAGAGGGGGGGGGGGGGGGGGAGGCAAGAGTTCCGACCGCTGGCCACGGCGCCGCTGCTTACGGAGGCTGCAATGCATGTGTGAACATAAATCGAATGACTGTGGTCGAGAACAACGAGAGGTGACGAGTCAAGTTCTTTAATCTGCCCCTAAAAACGCCAAAACATGCATTGATCCTCGGATTTGGCCCGCCTTTCTCCCGAAGCAGTGGAAAGGAAATATGTTGATATTTGAGAAGGAAGCTACCCCGCTGAGGTCAGCAGATGGCCTCAGGTTGGCGGCTGAGTTCAGCTGGTGCCGGTATGGACTTGTACAGTGAGCAGCCGAGACGGCGCACTTGGAGCCGGCACAACCAGCATTGACAGTCCAGCGATACGTTGAGAAATATGTGCTGCACCTATAACCGTTTGCGGTTATCCGGTTTGTTTGCTGTTATTCGCAGTGGAAGGGTGGTGTGAATAGGACTTAAATTCGGTCTTAAAAAAGGCATGCGGCCCCTGTCAGAACTCATGGTAAAATCCACCCTCCCCTGCCCCCCACCACCAACCCCACCCCGTCTCACCCGCTGCAAATTACTGGTGTGGCCGTGCTTATGCAAATGCAGGGAGGTGGGGTGGTGAGATGGCGGAGGTGAGGTTATAGCGCTCTCTGGGATGCTATGGATGCGCGTGGAATCATTGCACAAAGGTGAAATGATCACCGACGAGAGCGCTGCCCAGAAGGGCGCAAGGTGAGAACCAGCAGTCGACGTTCTCAGAAACATGATCGCGAGTGAGATATGGCTAAAACGGGCCAACAAGTGACGAAAATAGATATGCCTGCCTAGGGCAATACACTGAGCGATATAGACTAAGCACTGAAGGCTGAAAGAGCACAATAAAATGCGAGTTGAATGATTTGCGAGAGCTGAAAGAGCCGGGCGCCGAGTTTGTTTTCAAGAGAACTGGCGGTTGCACGCCACTGCGGTGGCGGAGGTCACACATGTCCGGTGAGGGCGCTGCCATCCCCGGCGGTGGAGGTCACGCACGTCCAGCGAGGACGCTGCCATCCCCGGCGGTGGAGGTCACACGTGTCTAGCGAGGGTGCTGCCGTCCGCGGCGGCAGATATCACAAATGTCCAGCGAGGGCGCTGCCGTCGGCGGCAGCGGAGGTCACACACGTCCAGCGAGGACGCTGCCATCCCCGGCAGTGGAGGTCACACGTGTCTAGCGAGGGCGCTGCCGTCCGCGGCGGCAGATATCACAAATGTCCAGCGAGGGCGCTGCCGTCGGCGGCAGCGGAGGTCACACACGTCCAGCGAGGACGCTGCCATCCCCGGCGGTGGAGGTCACACGTGTCTAGCGAGGGTGCTGCCGTCCGCGGCGGCAGATATCACAAATGTCCAGCGAGGACGCCGCCATCCCCGGCGGTGGAGGTCACACGTGTCTAGCGAGGGCCCTACCGTCCGCGGCGGCAGATATCACAAATGTCCAGCGAGGACGCTGCCATCCCCGGCAGTGGAGGTCACACGTGTCTAGCGAGGGCGCTGCCGTCCGCGGCGGCAGATATCACAAATGTCCAGCGAGGGCGCTGCCGTCGGCGGCAGCGGAGGTCACACACGTCCAGCGAGGACGCTGCCATCCCCGGCGGTGGAGGTCACACGTGTCTAGCGAGGGTGCTGCCGTCCGCGGCGGCAGATATCACAAATGTCCAGCGAGGACGCCGCCATCCCCGGCGGTGGAGGTCACACGTGTCTAGCGAGGGCCCTACCGTCCGCGGCGGCAGATATCACAAATGTCCAGCGAGGGACGCTGCCATCCCCGGCAGTGGAGGTCACACGTGTCTAGCGAGGGCGCTGCCGTCCGCGGCGGCAGATATCACAAATGTCCAGCGAGGGCGCTGCCGTCGGCGGCAGCGGAGGTCACACACGTCCAGCGAGGACGCTGCCATCCCCGGCGGTGGAGGTCACACGTGTCTAGCGAGGGTGCTGCCGTCCGCGGCGGCAGATATCACAAATGTCCAGCGAGGACGCCGCCATCCCCGGCAGTGGAGGTCACACGTGTCTAGCGAGGGTGCTGCCGTCCGCGGCGGCAGATATCACAAATGTCCAGCGAGGGCGCTGCCGTCCGCGGCGGCAGATATCACAAATGTCCAGCGAGGGCGCTGCCGTCCGCGGCGGCAGATATCACAAATGTCTAGCGAGGGCGCTGCGGTCTGACAGACCATCTCTCAGTCAGCCTCCCGCCGGCAGGCCATGCAGGGGGCCTGCTGTGCTCACCAGGAGTCGGGGCGTCCAGAATAGAGCGGCCTGCAAATAGCGAACATGGTGTCAGCTGCCGGCAGATGAAGGGAGCTTGGCGAGGACAAAGAAACAATGTTGCTATGTGCGATTAGGCTTGGGTTCGCCCTTGTCCTCCATTCATATTTGGCAATGCTACCACCACAAAGAAGAGGTCTTTCATCGATTTCATCGATTTCATCGATGGTGATTGTAAAGTCAGAAAATTATTGAAGCACGATAGCGGAAAATTACACTTGCCTGCTTAGTTCATCATGCACCCACCCTGCCCGGGATGCTGGTTAGTAGCGTTCTATTCACAGTTTCTCTATATAGGGGGAACTTCATAGCTTATGCTAGCACTACCTATGGTGTGTAACTTATGCTAACGCTGGTCGTAGTCGGCAACGCACCTTCTGTTTTGATGCGCTAAAATCCGCTGTTGATAATCACTAGCAAAGCAAGCATACGGTTTTCTCCTTGCTGTTTGCGACTGATTTGTTTCATGATTACACGGTCAATTACAAGGGACAGTGGATGAAATTAAAAGGAAATCTAATCTGCAATGAAAAGATAATGATAATGGCTTGAGGACAGGACAACAGGAGCGAGAGCGTAGATGAGCTAGAGGCGTCGAATACTTTTTCAACCCATATAAAGTGCGTATTGATCTCTTCCTTCCGACAGGATCTAAACTGCCCTTCGACCCTACCGCACACGCATTTAACGGCATCTACACCCAGCATCTCCAAACACGTGCAGTCGGTGCTCGTTGACCTTCCGCCGGCGGCTGAAGCTCGGGCCCATCTCTAGATCGCCGCCGTAGCGTCTCCACCGGACCGCGCCGGCACGGCCGGGGGGGGGGGGGGGCGTGCTGATCGTACCGATGCCGTGTAGGCTTCCGGAGGTGATGTTCAGCGCACGGATGCGCCGCTTCTTCCTTTCGTCGGAGGTGGTGTTGACTCGTTCACGCAGGGTGTCTGTCTCGTTGGTGTGTATGGTTTCGCCATCTGAGGACGGTCTCGAGCTGTTTGTCGCACAAATTGTGAGCAGCGGGTAACGATGCCGGCAATAGTAGCCATTCGGACAGGAACACTAGGACTGAGGTGAATGCTCGCATAAATAGGTGCAACAACAGGCAATGCACTAGCCCGTCATCGAATAAGCTATTTCCCACCTTTGCCGGACAGGGAGGCCTGTGAACTCCTCGTCAGCCTACAACTGAACGCGCTGAAAACCAAGGGCAAGGGGGCATCTCATGACTGTTCTAAACTGCATGGAATGGGTGCCACTTGACATCGGTGCAGATCATCTTGGTTAGATGTCTTACAGCAGCTACACGCACACCGTCACTTGCTATACACACCCAAGCCCAGGTTCATCGGCTAAACCGATTCGTGATGCATCACATCACGACATAATGACATTGGACAGGAGCTGGGGAACAGGAGTGTTGGGACAGGAGCTGGGGAACAGGAGTACTGGGTCAGGAGCTGAGGAACCTGAACTCTGGAAAAGTTATCATTAACGCTACATCCCGCTGCAGTTAGAGATTGTTTTGCAAATTCAGTTTTGATCTTCGACTTTGAAGCTGCCACATCTTCTAACGCATGATTGCCAGACCTTCAACAGATTATCTGCCATGACTGTCAAACCCTGCTATCCCACAATTTATGCCTCCGTGGCAGACCGGTGTCTGGTGAGGGTACCCACCCGCGTCACCGGTGCCTCCGTGGCAGGCTGGGGCGGGTACCCAGCGGTGCCTCTGTGGCAGACCGGTGTCTGGTAAGGGCACTTACCGGTGTTGTTCCGGTCCACGTCGCTGCGCTCGCCAGTGTTAATGGTCTCGACCACAGAATTCGTGCGCGTCCTCGTGCTCTGGTCGATGCTCGTTCTCTGCAGAAACGGTTCCGCTGTGGAGTGACGCCCATGATTTAGCATGGGAGAAGGGGACTTCTAGCGCGGGCTCCGAGACACCGGCTCCAGGCTCAGGCCTGAGGAAGTCGAAAACTGGGGCTAGGTTAGAACTAACACTACTCGCAGTGAGGTGGCCTTGGGACGTTCCTGAAAACTATTCGACCGGTTGAGATTCATTTTGTTTTGCTTGAAGTTTACACGGTATCTAATTCAATAACTTGTAAACTTGTAGCTGCTTGTGTACACAACGCAATTTGTATTTCCTAAGCTTGACATATACAATCATCGTTCGCCCTTACCCCAGCATTTGGGTCAAAGGAAAATAGTTGTGCATCAACATTCATTCCGGAGTTACAACATAATGATGATTCACGATAGGTGCATAAAGGGCACAATAAGTGCACAAAATGTGTAAAGCAAGCATCAAAACAAGTAACGTATTTTCGTATGTATCGTGGATCCTCTTGCAGGCATCTACTGTCACTGATAGCATAGAAGGTTTAACTACGTCTTAAAGAAAATTGACGAAAACAATGCGTGTGTTATAGTGTGCCCAGTTTTGTAAAAAAAGCTAGTGTCACAGTTTCTCATTTCGTCCATCGTCGTTAACTTATAAAGCCAGGTTAAATATCGATGTACAGCTATCACCTTTGACCTAAATCCTGGGGTAACGGTAAACGATAACTTGACATGTTTAGTTTGAGAAATTGAAGCTGTGTTATATACATAAGGGGTTACAGCTTAACTACATGGTACCAGGTTCTATGTTAAAAAGCTAAGTTAAGTTAACAAGTCCCAAGTTCAGCAGGTAAGTAAAAGCTCAATTTCGGAGGTCCATTTGCCTCCCTCGCCCTCTAGGGTTTTTCCAGAATGGTTTCCTAACGGCGCAGCGTAGCAACGCCAAATTTTGCATAGCTATAGATAATTGAATCGCAAATCGTATTGTATCAAAAATTTAGACGTAACTTGTAAGGTCGCTAACCTACGGCAGGTCAAAGTCAGGCCATGGATTTAGTGAAGTCATTTTCTAGGGAATCGCTCAATCTGATAACAACGGAGCGTTAGATGCGGCCATGCAACTCTGAAATGCGTTCTTAAGCAACACAGCAACTAAAATGATAGGTTCCGTTGACCTAGAATCAGGTATGAAGGTCAGACCAAGGTCAGAGCCAACTTGTTTTTTAATCTAGGGCTTGTTGTATGGCATAGCTTCTAGCGCTCATTTCGAATTTGTTGATAACAAAAACCGCATTGCACACTTGCATGGACAACTTAAAAGCCAGAATAGGTCACTGACCTGAAATCACCCCGGTCAACATTTTGTTTTAGAAACATACTGCGTAACGGTATCTTTGTCGCTTATTTCATGTAAAGCTCAAAGCAGTCTTGTATGATTTTGGTCACCATAACTTTCAAAAGGTCAAACAACGTCACTGATCTGAGACGAGCATGTGACCTTTTGCTAAGAACAGGTATCTAGGTTCTGGGGGCACTTTGGACACCAACATGGAGTTTGAGCCTGTTTGATCTTGTCGAGCCTTGTTAAACCTAAAGGTCATGACCTGGAAGCCTTAAACTTTGACCAAGGTAAGCTCACGTACAGGTCAACACATCCTGTAAATTTGGGATTTCTAGCTTCCTTAGTCTCTGAGATCTCAGTGTGGTCAAATTCACCCCTCCCGAGCAAAGGTTACCCAGCCGGGCAGCCGGGCGCGTGTTAAAATAGGCGTACTTTTAGCGATGGTGGCAATCAACTGTACTTGCAGTTAATTTTGTAATGTCAGTCATAACGAAAAGAAGTGAAGTTCAAGAAAAAAGTGATAAGAAATGAGGCTTTCACCCCATACGTTACTAACTTGTCACACGGAAGCATTCTGATTTTTGTTGTGAGCCATTCCATAGGCGTTTGTATTCAGCCCACACATAAACCGCAGCAAGAGAAACTGTGAGGGATTACGTGTCACAGAGATTGTTCGGCGCTGCTTTCTTTAACGGCAATCAGATATCACATACTTTTGTTTTGCTGACTAATCTAACCATTTTGAGACGACGCTGTTAAGCGATAGTTGTGCAGCATACCTGTGTGAAATAGGTAGCCATTTTGAATCGCAAAAACCGCAATCCCATTCGAGCATGGAAGAGCGCCAGGACATCCGCTCTTTCAACCTAAAATTCTGAGCACTTAACGACGAATTTCGCAGAACTGACTTGACATATAGATCCGGATCGTCTATCCTAGCTACACAGCTGTACCGTAAAATTTCGACCTTATATAGGAAATTTTCTTTTAACTAATGTGGGGTCGATTAACAGTGGATGACTAGACACGCTGCATGATTTCGATTATGTTTGTCGGGGCGATCTATAGCTGGGGAATGCCTCAGCTTCCCTCACGCCACCGCGTAGTGATATTTTTGTCACTTTCTAGGTCAGATATTTGAGAACAAGCTGGTTGAATTCATAGAGGTTTATGTTAAAACTTCGTTGACATGTGCGATAATGCTCCAAACCTGCCACTTCCCAGACACTAATTGCTTTCTGAAAAACGGCTCAAAATGTGTACCCCAAGAAACCCGAAAATAAGTGCACCAAGATAACAGGTAATAAGTCTAAGCATTCAAAACGCTACGACTCATTTAACTAACACTGACACCGTCACTTTAACACCAAGTCGAGTTCGTGCCGTTGTGTTACAGGAGCCGCGTCGCTCCGTCCACTCGCACCAGCTGGGCTGGCCAGCGCACCGCGGCTTGCCGCTAGCGCGCTCACCTGTGTCGAAGCGGAGGTAGCAGGTCCGGTCGAGGAGGCAGGCGGTGGTGCAGGCAGCCCGGGCGAGCCGCTTGCAGCTGGGACGCGCCTCCGAGCCGCAGCCGAACAGCCACCGGCCACCGGCCGCCTGGTCAAACCTGCCAGCAGGAGCGGGGCGTCGAGACCGGTGTGGAGCACGCGATTGCAGGCCCCCTCCCCCCCCCGCACACACACGCGCGTGAAGGCGACGTCCGGCTGGGGCTCCGGTGCCCTGCAAACCCAGACAGATATAAAGCGGTTGTCAGGATGTAGCCCTGACGCTGTAAGCCCAAGCTGAAAGAAAATATTTTCGCCATCATCGAGCGGCAGTGGTCGAGGGTGATTGGTCGGTCATCATTGTGAGTTGTCGTGTGTCACCATTGTGAACAGGTAGTAGTGGCGTACTTGGAACGATTCGGTGTGTTCAGTCCGCTAAAAGAAAGGATTTTCAGAGCACGTCCGAATGAGCAGCAAATAAGACCACTTGAGCGCAGCGATGAATGACTCCTATCTGTAGTGCTGTCTTCCACACAGTGACATTCATGTATGTGGACAAGGCCAATGAAGAAACCACGTAAAAGCGCCAGCAATCGGTCCCATGTGAGTGAAGTATCCACTTAATGGCATCGTGGTGTCTATCTAGGGCTGCCTCCTCTGTCCGCCTCTGATAGACGCGGCACAGCGATGCTATGATGTCTGTTTTGTATGTTGCAGGGGCTAAGTACACTAATTGGGCAGGGCAGGAGCACAATACACGAAGTTATACGTTATCATGTTAGATGAGCTGTGGCAACACATTATAAAATGAACGAGACGGCAGTGCGGCAATGCCACACGGAGAGAGAGATTGAGAGAGAGAAAGGGAGAGAGAGAGAGAAAGTGAGAGAGAGGGAAGAAGAAAGAGAAGTAGAGAGTGAAAGAGAGAGAGAAAGAGAGGGAGAAAGTGAGAGAGGTAGGGAGGGGAGAAAGAGACAGAGAGAGAGAGAGAGAGAGGAAAGAGAGGGAGAGATAAAGGGAGGGAGAGAGAGGGAGAGAGAGTGGGAGAGGTAGGGAGGGAGAGAGAGACAGAGAGAGAGAGAGAGGGATAGATAGAGGGAGAGAGAGTGAGAGAGTGAGAGAGAGGGATGGAGAGAGACAGAGAGAGGGAGATATATTAAGAGAGGGAGAGAGAGGGGGAAAGAGAGGGGAGGAAGGGAGGGAGAGAGAGAGAGAGTCAGAGAGAGAGAAAGAATAGAAGAGAGAGAGGAGAGGAGAGAGAGAAGAAGAGAAGAGAGCGAGAGAGAGAGAGAGAGAGAGAGAGAGAGAGAGATATAGAGAGAGAGAGAGAGAGAGAGAAGAGAGAGAGAGAGAGAGAGAGAGAGAGAGAGGAGAGAGAGAGAGAGAGAGAGAGAGAGAGAGGAGATAGAGAGAGAGAGAGAGAGAGAGAGAGAGAGAGAGAGAGTGGGTGAGCGAGTGAGTGAACGGATAACTTTCTTCGTTAGGACGAGTGACGCTGCCAAACGGACACCACGAGTCGAGGCTGACGTACAGCGGTCGAGATCCGGACACGGCCTTCGGTGGTGGAACAAAAGGACGGTAAAATGCCATCCACTGTGGTGACGCCGCGGGAGTTTGGTTGCTATTGTGCCTGCTGCCTGCCCACAGCACCGACGCCCAGGTGCGCCGCAGCGCTCCGCGGTCGCTGGCCGTGTCTCGGAGCTCTACTGACCCGGTGAAGATGGTGTACTGCTGGGTCGGACTCTCGCCAGCGCACACTCGCCGGGCGCTGCGGAAGTCGACGCCACCCGGCCGGACGCTGGCCTGGGAGGCGGCCGGCGTGGTCTGACAGCAGGTGCCGTCCGACGGCAGGTCAGGCAGCGTCACGGTCTTCGTCGCACATCCTGCCGGCAGGCCATGGCCAGTGACGGCCAGGCGGATGCAGGCAGGTGGCGGACAGGTCAAGGTCAGCGGTGCACGTGTCAAGCTCGACGCCAGACGGGGCAGGGTCATGTCAAGGGCGTCTGGATCGGGCATATCAGTAGACGGGTCAGCGGCATATGGTTTGCTGTCAGCGACGGACAGGTCGGGGTTTCAGCGGTTACAAACATCCCCAGACTCGGCACCTCCACTCACGCCACGAAGCTGTCAAATGATGCCTGGGTGCCAAAGCTTTTTATGATATCCGGCTCGATGGCATCACCTCAAACCAGAATTCAAGCTTGTGCACGTGACATGAACACACTGCGCGTGCATGACCCCAGCGGTGCACCAGAAATACAGCGAGGCTTAGAAATAAAGGAGATTACGTCTGGCTTACAATATAAGCAAGCGAACAATCTACTTTTGCGGACAACTATCACCCTTTCTGACAATTAACGAACAGTTTTCAGGGGAATGAGCGAAGAAGCTGCAAGCTGCACCAAAGCTGCATTTACCAAAGCTGCACTGCCTTGACTATGGGCGGTCATTTTTCACAACATACAGATGTGACAACCCTGACGTACGCACTAAAGGTACACTTAAACGGCACGTACAAGGTGTCGGACTACACATAGAGCAGCCGAGGTAACTGGTGCCTCATACCCTACACCACGGCACGCAGAGCACACATATGTACATATGGATAATGGTGCGTACAGTTGTTAACCTATGTTCTTGTTTAACACCATTATGCCGCATCGTAACAACATTAAGGCTGCTCAGTGTACAACCAGTGCGACGCTGCGTTGCTTGACGGCTGTCTGAGGTAGGTCACATTCAGCTACACAACCTGCCTACGTCTTGCTTTTATTAGCTGCGGGCAGTGGTTCGGCGGAAACTTGGCATATTTATCCCCGGTTGAGAAAAGTTGGTGTGACAGGTGTGCTGGAAAGGGCCTCTTTCCAGGCCTTAGTGTTAGTATTACGCTAATTTCCTCAAACGCTGGCGTGACGGCTGTGACATCTCCCACACATCACCCCCTTACCTTATATGTGAAAAATACATTTGGAAATCTCTTGTTCTTTAGTCCATGTTTTATTAAGACAAGTATGCCGCCTTTTGTGCTTCTCATTCATCGTTAGACCTGAGGCATGCGATTCCATCAGTAATCCAGGTTTTCTCGAATTTCTTCCGAGTAACTCAGAATTTCCATTTGAAGTAGCCGCTTCTGCGGGAAAAATCTCATCTACCTGCTCACCACTATGAGACCAATGCAATTAATCTGACTTGTTTTTTTCAAGGTGTGTTGTGTTATCTTTGCAGTACACTGTGTGAAAATATTTGCGTCGTGAATGTTACGAAACCTTGAAACATTCTGTTTATACGGCAGAATATGCCAAACATGAAGCTATTATCCCGTGATTTCAACGAAACGTTGTAACATGGACTTTTGATTTTTACCCTTTGGCGCTTACTGCAGTGGCGCTTTTCAAAGCACGCGTAGACTGGGAAACAGAGTATCACATAGTCTGAAGTGGCGCCTGATTCTAACTTCCACCAATGCGCTTCTCGGTAACTGGCCCTTGCCGCCCGTTGTGTCAATCACAAACGCTTCGTTTACACTGACGCCATTCAGTAGCAGCTGACAGCGGCCCCCCAGCAGATCCTGCCGTCGTCATGACGACGGCTGTCATGACTGCAGGGAAAAAGTGCGGTTCCATCACAAAGCATTGAGAGCGTAATTCGGACTTGAATGTAATTCAATTTCTATCCTTATTGTGCCTCGATGATGCTGCAGACCCAGCGCTGTTGGCAGACGCAGCTGTTCCTGAGTTTTCATTACAGCATGCTTTTGAAAAATGTTCCACCGGTGTGTCACTCTATGTAACAATCACGGTGGGCTCAGCTTTGATCTTTTTGTAGGCATGTTTTTGTCACACATTTGCGAAGTTCAAGTTATCACGCGCCGTTTTCAACACGGACATCATGCCTGGAGACCTCCTTTTTCGTGATACAGATGTCACGAAAGCATACTGCTTATGTACCAAAATACAAATATGAGTATTCGCGCTTTACACATTCTCATCTTTGACACGCACCAATGTTCTCTACAACCCGGTGCTCATCGCTCTGATGGTGGCCCTCCATACAGAACTATGGACAATGACAGGCGGATCCTGGGGAGGGGGGGGGGGCACGGGGCCATCGCCTCCCCCCCCCCCAAAAGCTCTGAGAGTATGTTTGCCCCCCCCCAAAAAAAAACCTTCCCAGAACTTCATAAAAGTTTCGTCTACTTACCTCAAAAGATGTACCTCAAAATAATAGCCTACATAATAGCAAATACATGATAGCAAAATAATACCAATAATACCTCAAAATGAGGGTTACGAGCTTTGTAAACATGCATACTGTATACAGAAGATTCAAAAGCATTTCGGTGCTTGAATGGTGTCCGTACTAGGTACTCGCGAGAGACACCATGCACTGGACCTCGGATCCCACACCAGCCAGCTGGCGACGAACGGTTGCCCCCCCCCCCCAAAAAAAAACAACTCCAGGCTAGGTCCGCCCCTGGACAATGAGAGTGTCCCATTTGCGTATGTACATTGTTCCGGAGCGTTGAGCTTCCGTCTCTCTGTAGAGCGTGCAATGGCTATGTTATGTGAGTTATGGTGCTGGGTCTCTGTGTGTGTGCGCGCGAGCCGCTGTGTGCAGGTGCATAGACAGACACCTGGAGAGTGCTGTTGTTTGGCCGAGATGTGGATTATCAGGTGGTTGCGCACAGTCTCCTATATCACGTTCAGTGATGGAAGGCGTTGTTTTTCAGTGATGCCGAATCAATTGGGAAATAATTGTCCATGACCAAAGAGGACGAAGTTGGGCCTTGGAAGCATGAGCTATGTTTGATGCCGTCATTGAGATAGTTTCGACGGTGGGATGGATGATGTTGGGCAGGATGTTTGGCCGATGTTTCTCATCGGCCTCGTACCCAGAAAGCGCTTGATGTCCCTGAGTATGTCCCGGGCCTGTGAACTTCAACATTGTCATACAAGTATCCGGCTTATACTCACTAATGATACATTCCAACCCTACCAAATGGTATAGCTGGGTGGATCCATGTACGTCCTTTGCATGGTACGCATCGGCTGTACCCCAGAGCGCGTGATGTCGCCAGCGTCACTCCACGCCAACCCAAGTACTCAGAGTGCAACTTGGCGACGATGATGAAGGCTCAGCTTCCCAATGACTGCTGAATAGCCTCCCGGCTGTTTGAAAGCCTGCCGAATGGAGCTGAGCCTGAGCCCCGGCTGTGACGGATCCTGTATATTTGTCGTGCCAGCCTGTGGGAGCAGGCTGAATGGGCCTGACCGAAACGGATCCGGTTCGGTCGACAAGTCCAGGGTGTGGTAGATCCAAGCCTCAAAATCCTTCTTTAAGACTCGCTTTCCGCATTCTGAGCATAGCTTGTTACCAACTGATACAAGTCCCAGAAACGAACGGTGGCCAGCAATGAGCCCTTTGGTAACAGATCGCAGTGCTTTACGCCTCAGGTCAAACAGGATAACGAAAGTCATGCCTTTTAGAAGTATACAAACGCTTTCTCATCACTATGCACGTAGGACTGTCTATCCATACAAAGCAAAGCAAATAATTTTAAAACAGTGACTCTAGCCGGGGTCGTCCTTTGGACCAGCGCGGGAGGCGGCCGAGCACCGCCGGTAGCATCGACACAGGCCGGCCGGCCGGCAGAGAGGCTGGGTAACGCGCGGGGCCGGCCGGCCGGGAGGCTGGGTAACGCGCGGGGCCGGCCGGCCGGGAGGCTGGGTAACGCGCGAGGCCGGCCGGCCGGGAGGCTGGGTAGCGCGCGGGGCCGGCCGGCAGGGAGGCTGGGTAGCGCGCGGGGTCGGCCGGCCGGGGACCACGCGCCGGTCTGGTCCGCCCGGCTTGGATGGCACTTGCGCTGCGCGGATGTTAAGAGAGTGTCCACTTTTTCACAACTTCCGTTAGAGAATTTAACGAAAATTACGAAAAACGAGGTTTGAAAGTGGAATGCGCTATGACCTAGAGAAACTGAGTTTCATTTTATGGTAAGTCATAGTAATCCGGATCATCACCAGGGGCATTGCATTGTCTACGTAATGCCGTGCTCTGTTCGAAAAGTGTGCTATGGTTCCGGAGTTGTCATCGTTTCACTTCGAGCATTGCCCTTATGAAGTCATTTCCTGCCATCACCACTGATCTCATCATCACTGGTCATCTGATGTCATCTGATCATTGCTAATCATCACTGGTGAAAAACGGCTTGGCGCAGAGGTCCACAAACTGCAGAATCGTGATCAGAGCACCAGATAGCCATGTAGATCCAGTTTTGCCCAAGTCTGAAATGGCGGTATGTACTTTACTGGCTGAGCTGGCGTGAATGGCTCTCCGCAGCCCACGGCTTTGTCAATATCATTGTTCATGTTTTCCTCCGCCTCCGGTTTCACGCCAATGCAAGTCCGGATCATTGATATCAGGTCCCGGCTTAAGCTATTGCTCCTCAGATTTTGTTGAACCATTAAAAGTTTCGCTTCCACGTTAACTGAATGGAATAACTAATTTAGTTGAAATCATGTTTTTGGGAAAATGAATGCTGTGCGAACGACTTATAAACATTTGTGCACAGATTTGCACCGTCTCTCTTAACAACGAATTGTATTGCGCTTCCTATATTTACCAAAACTGCATAAAGCCGCTGTCATCAGCTGCGAAGATACTGACTTATAGAAAGCGCGATGTCCATTGTTCATTGCCAGCACAACAGGAACATACCACTGGTTCAGTGGAGGGAGCCCAGCTAGCTAACGCCAGCTTCTTGTGCTGGCCGTACAGACCGCAGGCTTGCGCATGATTCCGCTGCAACGGCATCTCTCTAGACCCGGACTTCCGGTGCATGGGGCCGAATCTGACGCCGGGCAGCGCCACTCCGTTCGGGTTTGACTGCGACTACGACTCAAGCCGATAGGGCCCAATTCCATAATCGGCTCCGGTCGAGCTGCTTCCGACAACATGGCCTAAGGAGATAGCCTGTTCTCCTGGCCTATGCCAAAGCCTCTTCAGGACGCAAATTTAATGACCGGGCAGTGGTACGTCTAGTGTTACGTTTGTTGCGCAGGTACGAGCTGCCACGCTTAGTGTATCTGTTGTTACATGCTATCCGATACTAGCTGACTCATTGATGACTCAAACACGGCTGACCCAGCTCCAACTGCGGGTTACGCAACTCTTGAAAGGAATGAATGCCACTTGACTCCACAAAAAAAAAACGAATTGATTCCGGGGTCGACTTCGATTCCACCCGCTATCAAGCTCAAGTCTGGCAGACCGTTCGCCGTTTGGCTGACACCGCGGCGTACGCGCATCACCGATGGGCGAAACATAGCACCATATCGGTACAGCCCACTGGGGGCAGCTTCAGCACCATGTCAGCACAGCCCACTGGGGGCAGATTCAGCACCACGTCAGCACTGGGGTCAGCTTCAGCGCCACGTCAGCACAACCCACTGGGGCCCGCTTCATCACCGCGCCAACACAGCCCACTGGGACCAGCTCCAGGCATATCCCGGTGACCCACCATGTGTGTGTGTCGCGATGGTCAAACACAGGCCGTCCCTGTTCGGCCGGCATCAGGGAGACCGCATGTCACCGGCCGGAGTCATACATTGCAGGCCCGTTGCAGGGGAGCATCCAGCGTCACATGTAGGGAGGGTCAAAGTTTGCTTAAGTTTGAAGCTCTAGATTTGTGCTCAACGCCACCAAAATGAAGAAAAGTTGTGCGAATCTGAGTTATTTCCCCCGTCCTCGACGGTCACAGCCTCCCGAGCTGATCCGGGAATCCGGGATCCGGGAATCCCCCAGCCCGGCGCACACACCGGACCCACGCGGGGCCACTGCGCGGTCGTGTGTCCGGCAGACGTCAACAATCGGCTCGCCACGGCGCGCCTCCCGAAACTGCAAACAGGATCGGTCGCCCAGAAACCAAGATTTCGGTTCGTGACAGCAGCCTACAACGTGTCTACTACTGACACGCACGGCTTGTGACAGCTCTCTGTTTCGGGGAGCTGACCGCTGCGACCGACAGCGGGCCGGGCTGCGGTCACCGCCCGCCTGCACACACCCTGACCCGCCCAGCGCTCACACCGCGCCCGCTTCACGCCCGGGCCCGCTCCGCGCTAATGCCTGTTGTTTACGCTGTACCTGTGTCTACGTTCATCGCCGTGCGCCCGTTGAAGCGGCGGCTGGGTTTTCACAATACATGGTTGCGCTCACGCTGCTATTTACGCGTTAAATGCACGACAGTCCGGTGTCCTGTGCCTGTCATGGGGGCGTCTGACGTCGGCCCTCCCAGCGCTACATCCTTGACCCGCACCTGGCCAGAAGGATCCAGGTGGCACGGACCGGCTCGGGGTCACGTCCCTGGCCTCTGTTCACCAGCTCGGTGAGCAGGTGAGCACACACGCCATAACGCCGCGCGCTCCACATCTTTCTTCACTCCGCACACTTGCTACACAGTGATGAGACTTCCTAGCGGCGATTCTCAAATCGAATGGCGGCATCAGAAATAGGGGCATTGGTACAGCATGTCTTTCGAAGCCCAACTACGAACGTGATATTATGCCTACTTGATGGCAACGCGCGCTTCCTAGCTTTAGATTTACCAAGCCGCGCTTCCTAACGTTGTGCGGCCGACGCTGGGCCGAAAGACACAGAGCACGTTTCGGCTACGAACTCGCTGGCGACTCCCCAGTCGGTCCTCCTGCTCCGACTGAGGAGTGAAGTACTCAGGTCTTCCCTGCCGCCAACTGCAGTCCAGGCCGATGTGCTCCGTTCGGCAGACTCGCCCCCGGTCACCAACCACATGCAACACAGCCGTTCCCGCACCCAATGAAAGGCTGTCTTGCGCCAGCGCTGGCCTTGCGGAGCCGCCCGGCGGTCGGCCGGCCGTAGCGGGGCTGCAGCGGCGGTCGGCCGGCCGAAGCGGACGCCGCGACGGCGCGAACCGGACCGGCGCGGCGGCCGCCGGCCGGCGAGGCCGGCTCGCCGCCTGTCGACGCCGCGTCCGTCACCGGGGACATCCGCGCGCATGAGCACAACCTGCCACGTCACGGGCCGGCGGCGACGCCGTCACGGAGCGCCGCACGGCGCGCCAACGGGCGGCGCAGCTCACTGACCTGAGAGCAGAACGCCGAGGGCAGCCAGCAGGGCGAGCGGCTCTGGTAACGGTGCCATGTCTCGCGCGCCGAGGCCGCGGCGCCGACTGCGGCCGCGCCGCCGCCGTCACCGCCCACCCGCCACCGTGTGACCTTTGTCGCCGCCGGCCGCGTCGGGCCGCGGCCGCCGCACAGGTGCCGGTGGTCCGGCGGCCCCGCAGGCCGCGACGGCCGCCTACCTTCCAGAAGCGCGCCGCGCCGCCCCGCCGTCGATGGCGCCGCAGCCTCTACTAACCAGCAGATGGCCCAGAAGCCGGACACAGAACGGGCAGCCGCCACTACGAAATGTGTATTCTTGACGGACAGATGCGATGGAATAAAAGGGCACGGAGAGAGCGTTTAGTGCGGCGGGCGGACACATGCCGCGGAAAAGTCACCGCTTGCTGGCACAATGAGCCAGCACAGATCCACCTCACTACCGACCGCGCTGTCACGTCATGTCGCAACGGAGAACCGCCTGTCATGTCAGCCTTTGACAAAAGGAATCTCCAAGTTTCAGCTGAGTTAAACACATCACGAACACAGCCCGTGGCGTCTCCGAAAGACACATACAAAACCAGAAACGTGGTCTCTTGGTCGCGACCTACACCGAACCCCGTCACACCTAATGTCTGCACGTGTCGTGTGCAGGGATCCAGCCGTGGCTCCCTATGATACGCACGACTCTCGCACCTCTATCCCCATGAAAACCGCACCGCAGCACCTCCAAACGCGCGAACGATCCACAGCCTGCACCACCTATCCTCAGACCCCTCACGCTTCCTTCAGCAGGTGCTTGTTCCTCTCGAGCATCTCCTTCTTCTTCTCGGCCATGCCTTTCGAGATGAACTTCTCCGTCTCCTCCAGCGACTCGGCCTCCGCCTTGGTGTCGTCCCCCCACTTGCCGGCCATCAGCTTGCTGACCTCGGAGGGCGTGGAGGCGACGGACACGGCCGCCTGCGCCGCCGCCTGCGCCGCAGCGCGTGCCGCCGACACAGTGGAGGCCATGTCGGACGCGCGCTGCTGGTGCGACGACAGGTCAGCCTCGATCTTCAGCTTGGCCTCCTTCAGCTTGGCGAACATGTCGGCAGGTGGCCGTCTGGCCGTCGCGGAGCCGTCCCGGCGGGCTGCTGTCGCGTCCACCGCGACCCGGCGGGCTGCGCGACCGGCGCACGAAGTGGAACCGGTCGCCGGCGGTACCGCGCGGCCCCACGCCCCGCGAGCCGCCACGGAAGCCACCGCGGAAGCCGGCCCTGAAGCCCGGTCGGAAGCCGCGGGCGCGCGAGTACCGGCCCGGCACGTAGTTGTGGCTGTGCCAGTTGTCGCTGCGCGGGCGGCCGTAGCGCGAGAAGCGCGGACTGCGACTCCGGGAGCGCGAGCGGCTCGACCAGCTGCGAGAGCGGGACCGGCTGCGCGAGCGCGACCGCGAGCGCGAGCGGCGCCGGCCGCCGCGTGAGCGTGAGCGCGAGCGACGCCGGCCGCCTCGCGAGCGAGAGCGAGAGCGAGAGCGACGGCGGCGACGGCTGCGCGAGCGGGAGCGGGAACGAGAGCGAGAGCGAGAGCGCGAGGAAGAGCGGGACCGGCGCCGGCCGCCCGGTGACGGCGAGCGGCGGCGCACCGTCTTCTCCGGCGACTTCTCCTTCGCGTCGGCCGACTCCTCGACGGCCGGCTTCTGCTTGTCCGTGTCCTCCTTGGATGGCGGCAAGACCTCCTCCTTCTTGACCCCGAGCAGGTTGATCTTGAGGTCCGGCCGCTTGCCGACAGACATGCCCTTCAGCTTGTTCTTGTCAGTGGTTGCCTTGATCTTGGGCTGGTACTCCTCGAACACTGCCTTCATCTTATTGACACTATCCCGGCCCTCGTCGTCTATCTCGGTCTTAACGATCCGCACCGAGCCGTCCTTGCGCTTCTTGACCTCCACACTCTCCTCATTCCTGCAAACATACGTCACAGACACATCTCACTTCGGCAAATGAACGTAACAAACATCGCACGACGTCACTGTATGTAGAAAGTGTGATGCTCCCTGTCGTCGCCAAGAAACTATCGTCAGGAAGTGACAAGCCATCAGGAAGGAAAGGTGCAGGATATGTTACCAGCAGACAACGTGCTCACCAAACTGCCACAAATATCACATGTTGGCACAAACGCACATAACCAATCGCGGCCCTCACCAATCTGACCACTAATGCACAAACTAGGTCACATGTCTACGCACGGGACCTACAGCACGCTAACCGACCGAGCCCCCAGGCACAGCTGATCGGGACTATGAGCGGCGGCGGTGGTGCCTCACCAGCCCGCGTGCTTCCACTTGGTCAGGTCGGCGGCCGACTCCGAGCCGGAGGCCTCCATGCGCACTACGCGCTCTGATGAGGCGCGGTCGGCGCCGCCGGCTGCCTCGCGCTGTGGCCTGCAACAGCCGCCAACCCGGCACCGTTACGTGCCGCCGCGCGCGGCCGACGCCACCAGCGGCTCCCGGCTCTGACGGTCACGGCAACACCGGCGAAGGCGCCGAGGGGCCGCGGCGTCATGGATGCAACCGCTGAGGTGGAGGCGGGGGAGGGGGCAGAGCGAGAGGTACCTGTTCACCCAATTATGAAGAAAGGGCTTTCTCATTAATGGTCGGAGAATGGACAGTGCTCGACTATTTCTCACCACAAACACATCAGACCCCTTAGAACTCTAATTTGCCCCTCTCCAACATTTGGTCACATGGCCACACCTACGCCCTGGTCCACCGCCCACGTGGCCTGGCGCCGCGTGCGACTTCGGCAGGTCCGTCAGGCCGATGGACGTCCGGCGACAGCAGGAGTTGGGCAACACTGAACAGGCGGACCTTCAAAACCTCGCCAGTCAGGCGGGCGAGACCCCACACCGCTGACCTAAGCGGGGGCTGCTGAGGCCGACCAACAGTACCCGGCGCCATTCACATCCAGCGTAAGCGCCGAATGCGACGTCAGTCGTCCAGCTCGCCCGTGGGAACGGCCGCAGCCTCTGCGAATTTCAAAGCCGGTCGCCAAGAGACTACTGGCCCTCTGCAACTGGACGCCGCTGGGCATCAGCGGCCACTGGCGGCCGGCCGGCCGTCTGCCGTCGCACGGCAGCCGCCGCTCATCACCTGTCATCGGCGGTGTGGTGGCTGCTGCTGGACGAGCTGCGGCTCCGCGCCGCCGCCTTCTCCTTCCTCTTCTTGTGTTTCTTTTTCTTCTCCTTCTCCTTGAGCTTCTGCACCTGCTTCCGCAGCTGCTCCAGCTCGGTCAGGTACTTGAGCTCGCCGGCTGAGTGGGCCGAGCCGCCGGACGGCTGGCGCTCCCGCTTGCTCGTCGCTCTGGCAGCAGGGGTACGCAAAATTCAGAAAGAAACTCATCTCCGAAATCCCACACATCAATCTTGTGTCTACCTGTTCCGTGTAGGTTACGCATTGGCCTACCGCCCCCCCCCCCCCCCCCTTAACAACACTGACAGGGTCTATTGCTGTGGCCGTGTGTCACATATGCACGAAACCATTTCTGATGCCAAAGCTTGACGCAGTTGATGGTCTGACCCAGCTGGGTCAGCGGTCAACAGCAGCAAGTGCTCTGTTGACCGTAGCTGGCGCGACCGTCGTACACTGTCACTGCCCACTGATCACCAGCATCCCTGGTGACACACATCCAATTCCACTTAGTCCGCAATGCGTGTAAAGCGGGATCACGATCACGCATCGCGATTCACGATTCACGCGAGCTTCGCCGCTATAATTGCCAGGGACAATTTGATAAGACGGAAATGAAGGAGAACTAGGGATGGTCTGACGACGAGAGCCGACCAAAATCGGCAGGTACTAGCGGGACGTTGCAGCTGCTCTGAGGCACACGTGGCCGACTGAGCGGGGCCCGTGTTCGTCACACAGCACGGCAGAGCCGTCCACGCGGAGCGGGTCGTCACCGCAGCAGTCGGGCGGCCCTGAACCACCTCCGCTCCTTACACGGCAGGACCCACGCGCGGCTCGCGGCTCAGCCCACACACACCAGCAGGGCTGCACTGCTCTGGGTGGAGGGCGGGACTGCAGCACGTGCCCGATCTACAGTCCAATGCAACACAGGTCTAGACCCTTGCGCATCGCCCCCGTATACCATTCGGCCGGACCCAAACATCACAAGGCCAGGCTTCCACAGGGCTTACTACGCTACACTGGCATGCGCGCGCGCGCTGCGTGCGCCACTGGGCACGTGCTCGCCTGAATGGGACTGCAGTAGCATGCGATCAGACCTGTCGCGCTGGGGGATTAGCAGTAGCATGCGATCAGAGCTGTCGCGCTCACCCAGTTATCAACATTCGAGGGCATTCACGGCACAACACTTACGAATCAATCAAGTCCGCCACGCTGAGAAATGCGTACATAAAGATAGCAAAATGTAGTTTTAAGTCAGAATATCACTACCGGTGGTTTTAGGGCGCTTCAACTACATTGATTTCTTACTCGTTACAATGCCCTTTTATTCGATAAACGTGCTCGCTGTATTGCACAAACGTACTCATAAAAATTAATAATTGCAACTTCCGAACATGCCGACTACTAAATGGCATATACCGTGCATCCGAGGGTTCGCGGAAACAACACCTTGCAAATGCTGCAAAAAAAAATCAACCCTCCGCTCCGACAGCATGCTCACCTCCAGAACTAATGCGCTTTGACTGTTTAAATGGATTGTGCTTGCGAGAACAGCTCTTATTTTATTTTCCTTCATCGAACACAACTGTTTTGATTCCAAAGGACTCGTTTAACCCATATGCATCCCCAACGTCTGAAATGACGTCATTTCGCTCTATCTTCGGCCCCACACGTTGGACTGGAACGGTTTTAAGTGAAAGCGTCATCAGGATTGCTTTTCTCCCACTGGCCGACGCTCGGCGCATTGAGGCAGATTCGCTCAGTTGGCTACCAGCCATCTGTTGGTGGAATGTGGCACTCAGCTAAAACTTAACATAACCATAAAATTTATCGCGTTAATTGAGAGAGCATGCAACATCAAATATTTAACCTAGAAATTCGGCAGAACCAGTCGGTTCAGAGCCAAGCCATCGAGTATGCTCATCGCAAAAGGCTGCTGGACGGACGGGCTGTTCCACAAGTCTCACCTTCCTCTGAAGGCAGTAAGCACGCGATAGCAAGCCCACTCAGCTACACTATCGCGTCACTCTCTCAAAGCCAAGAGACGAGCAGCCACAGGACAGCGGGCAGACAAGACCAACTACGCGTGGGTGGCTACAGGACTTGGGAGCGACGCATTACTTGTGTTTCGTTTCCTCCTTGTGGGCGGCGGTGCCCGGCACGCCGTCCGGTTTGGTCCCGTTGGCACCGGCCGCCACCGCCTCGTCATCCCTGGCGGCGGAGCGCACCAGCCTCGCTCACCACCCGCACACAGACCCGAACACAGGCGGTGGCGCGCACCGCTGAGGGGGCGGAGCTGCTGCCAGCCGGTTATCGCCAGGTAACGAGCTCTTGTTCCCGCGAGAGCATTCACACGGCGAGGTCAATGAATGCGGACACTCTAAACTGCTACAGCAAGACGTACGAAGAGTTCGATCTTGTGATAAGTATTGCGCACCCTTTTGTGTTTTAGGCGCTTGTCAAAGGTGTTCGTTTGGATCAATGTAAGCTGAACTACGGCCTAACATATGTACACCATGACAGTGGAACTGCAAGCTTTACGTGCTTCTTATTTATAGTAGTCTTGCTTATTATATCGATAAGCAAGACTACTGCAAGCTTTACGTGCTTATTGTGTCTGGAACCATTGCACTAAAAACGGTCAGCTCAGCAGTAAACCCATCTGCTTCCTCTCTGGAATGTAGCTGGACCTGTCACATGACGCCTATGACGACGGTTAAGTGATGGGCGCCATCCCTGACGCGCTGCTCTGATGCGCTGCTCTGACCCCCTCATAAAATACTGAACACGGACCAAGGGCGTGTGCTGACACTTCGTACTGTGATAACTCAATTGAACACTGAACTGGGTTCGCTATCACTGCAAACTTCTTGCAGCTCATGCGATCGCGAAACACGGCCATGTGAAAAACGTGCAAGCCTTTAACTGTAAACCTGAGCCCCGTAAGTTGTGAACAAGAGACTTACCTATCTCCAAGGGCAGCAACACCAGCTGATAGGGGTCAGTGCTTTTTAGCTCCAGTAGTTCTATTCAACGCCGTCATGTTATACTTGCATTGTTATTAACCTACATGCACCCGTCCGCCAGAAGATGGCACCCCGGTAACTATGCATCATGGCCGAATGCTGCCATCAAGCCGAGCGCAACGAAGCAGGCTCAAAGTAATTACGCGCGCACGAATGCGTTAGGAGTATGGCGAAATGGAGACGCCAATCTTTGTATCCTAACGCAATGCATGACACTCTTTAAAGCACTTGTCCTAACACGTGCATGCTGTGATGACTAGTAAAACATATGTGACCACCCAGCAACGGCATAATACCGGGGTGCCACTGACACCACTGGCATAATACCGGGAAGGCCACCCAGCAACGGCATAATACCGGGGTGGCCACCCAACAACGGCATAATACCGGGGTGCCACTGACACCACTGCCATAATACCAGGGTGATCACCCAGCAACGGCATAATACCGGGGTGCCACTGACACCACTGGCATAATACCGGGGTGACCACCCAGCAACGGCATAATACCGGGGTACCACTGACATCACACCCGCCGTCAGCAACAAGCACGGCCACACCTCCCTCGGCGAAGGAAATATAGAGCGACGCGACCAATGCCTTACATCAAGGCCCCGGGAGCATGCAGATACTGTCCACACGCCACGAAACAGCCAACGCGTGTTACTCTAGTAACCAGCCGATTAGGCCAATACTGACGCTCCGTGACCGCGGAGTAACGCAGGCTCCCTAGCGCGTGCCACCGAAAGCGCGGCTTCCCAAGCGCCCGCCACCCTAGATGTCGCTTCCCAAGCACGCGCCAGCCAAAGGCGTCTGGAGAAGGTATTTGCCTGGTGCACGCCGAAGTCTTAGGTGCAGCTGGTGCGCCAGAAGAGGAGTTCCTGTTGGTAAATGACGGGCAAGGCGGGATCATGCGCTACCCACACGAAACATGCGTGAAAACGAACAAGCCGAGGCACCTTGCGTTGTACGGGCTACATTACGGTCTACACAAGTGCAGCCAACACGCCCCAGGAGAAAAACCATGTAAAACGTAAAGGACATGAATGAAATAAAGTTTAATGTCTTACTTGGTTGGCTCCGAGGGATCGTAGTCATTCTTCTCGGCCTTGATTTCGCCTATAGCGTCTTTGGCGTCGCCGTAGAGAAACTCATCGTCGTCCAAATCTGGCTCTTCAGTCTTGGGAGGCCCCGGCTCGGTCACCTCCTTCTGTTTGGACTTTTTGTCACTTTTCGACTTGCTGTCGGATTTTCCCTCAGACTTCACATCCGATTTTCCCTCCACCTTGCTCTCGGTCTTTCCTTCGGATTTGCCATCGTCCCATCGACTTTTTTTCTTTTTGTCTTTCTTCTTTCCACTGCCTTCATCCTTCTTTCTCTGGCGTTCCTCGTCTTTCTTGGACGGAGTGACGTCTTCCCTCTTGTCTTTAGCGGATTCTGCAAAGTTCAATAACAAAACGTCGTCAGGTCCACAAGCCCATCCTATTTCCCACAGCCTTTGAAGAATACAAGCGAAATGACGACACACAGACAGCCCCCACAGCTCCAGTTACAAACAGGCAGCTAGGGTGGTCGCACAGCACATCCACATTCCGAAAACATTGTCAGACTCCTGATCACAGATTCTTCCCTCCAAGCTCGACCACGCACCTGTCCGTTCTCTCTTGGGCCTCCGCTCCGCGTCCTTCAAGTCTCTGACGTCCTTGGAATCTCTGGCGTCCCTGGCGTCTCTGGCGTCCCTGGCATCCTTGGCATCCCTAGCGTCCTTGGCATCCCTGGCATCCCTGGCATCCCTGGCATCCCTGGCATCTCTGGCGTCGTCGCGTTCGCGGTCGGAGCGCGAGCGCTGCCGCTCGGCGCGCGGCCAGCCGGCGTCCCGCTCCCGGTCCCGCTCCCGATCACGGTCCCGGTCCCGGTCCCGGTCCCGGCTGGAGCCGCGGCCCGGGCTGCGGTGCGGTCTGCCGCCAGTCAAACGGTCACCCGCTGAGGTCGCCAACACACCGCCACACAATAGTATATAAATACGTATAAATAAATACAAGTGACTATTATCATAAATAATAACAAGTTATATTGATATATATATATATATATATATATATATATATATATATATATATATATATATATATATATATATATATGGAAACCACGCTCATAAGGAGACGGCAACTCATAACTGCTCACAAGAGGGTGCGGCTGGCACAGGGCGGCCGGCTCATGGCATTGCATCGTGCAATGAATGTACTTCAGTCAAAATGACCCCATATATAGTATTTCGCTATTGGTGTGGTCAGGTCAGGGTCTTTGCAACACCTGCGGACATCAAAAGCTCTCATTCGAAAAGGAATCCCTGCAAGTATCGTTAAATTTCGAGTTCAGCAGCCACATACCAGCTCCGAGGCGGCCCGGCAGGGGAGGGGTGCCCAATCTCACCTGTCCAGGTCGCGGCGGCGGCCTGCCGGCCGGTCCAAGTAGGGCTCGAGCGGGTCGCGCGCCTCCCACTGGTCTCGGTAGTCGCGCGGCGGCGGCCAGCGGCGGCCCGGCTCCGGGGCGCGCTCCTTCCGCGCGGCGCCGCCGCCGCCGCCGTCCTTCCTGCGGGCATCGCCAACGACCCATTACGGACACTCACAGAAAAAGAGCCAATGCAGCAGCAGTGCTGTCCTCCGATCATGACGCAAAAGCAGCCAGACCCGGACGGGCACCCCCGAGTACCCAGTAGGATCGGCGGTTGTTAATGCATTCAGCACCAGATTACACGTAATCTTGAGACCATTACGTCCATTACCGATTCCCTACCTCAGTCACGCTCCAAAGCCCACCCACAATGCGCCCTCACACCAGCGCCACGTCGGCCGCCTCAGCTCTGGTGTCGCCGCGCCACTTACTCGAGCGAGTCCAGGAAGCGGCGCACCTTCTCCTCATAGGCGTGGTCCTCTTGGCTCTTCACCGGCGGCGGGGCGTACACGCCCGGGGGCACGACGAGCGGCGCCACCGCCGCGGACGGGCCCGGGTACATCTCTGGAGCCGGGCAGGTCTCGTCAGCACCGGCGGCGGGCCTGACTCCGGCCGCGGCTCAACTGCTCACAGCAGTGGGAGCGCACAGGCCGGCTCGAGGCCTCAGGCCCACACTGGTTCGAGTCGCAGGCGGACATTGGATGCGTCACACAACGCGGCGTCTACACACTGACATGAAAGAACAATTTCTAGGTGGATGTACTGCTATTAACATTGCCAGCAGTAGACGCACTACTCACGGTGGGAGTATGACCCAGCAGTAAATGCCTCACTCACGTAAGAGGTAAGTCCTAGCAGTAAGTGCACCACTCACGGTAGGGGTACTGCCCAGCAGTAGGTGCACCACTCACGGTAGGGGTATGGCCCAGAAGTAGATGCACCACTCATGGTAGGGGTACGGCCCAGCAGTAGGTGCACCACTCACGGTAGGGGTGCGGTCCAGCAGTAGGTGCACCACTCATGGTAGGGGTACGGCCCAGCAGCAGGTGCACCACTCATGGTAGGGGTACGGCCCAGCAGTAGATGCACCACTCATGGTAGGGGTACGGCCCAGCAGTAGGTGCACCACTCACGGTAGGGGTACGGCCCAGCAGCAGGTGCACCACTCACGGTAGGGGTACGGCCCAGCAGTAGGTGCACCACTCATGGTAGGGGTACGGCCCAGCAGCAGGTGCACCACTCATGGTAGGGGTACGGCCCAGCAGTAGGTGCACCACTCACGGTAGGTGTACCGCCCAGCAGTAGATGCACCACTCACGGTAGGGGTACGGCCCAGCAGTAGATGCACCACTCACGGTAGGGGTACCGCCCAGCAGTAGATGCACCACTCACGGTAGGGGTTGGCGCCGACCGGCACGCGCTCGGCCAGCGGCAGCGCCACTGGCGGCGGGTTGCTGAAGCCGTGCGCCAGCGGCAGCTCGGCCGGACCGCCGGGCGCCGCCGGCAGCCGCTGCTGGCCCTGCATCAGGTGCATCTTCTTGCTGAGCGGCGAGAGCGACCCGCTGCGGCGCCGACTGGAGCTGCGGCCGGCGCGGGTGGGTCAGTGCTGGTGCCAGGCCCGCGGGCGTGGGGGCGCGGTGGGGGGCTGGTGGGGGGCTGGTGGGGTCGAGGTGCGGGCGGGTGGAGGTCAGCCCTAGTCTCAAGCCCGGCCATGCGGCGGGGGCGGGGGCGGGGGCGGGGGCGGGAGCGAGGGCGGGGGCAGGGGTCGGTGCCGGTCCCAGGCCTGGTCAAGGAGCTGGGCATACTGACCGGTCGCGCCGGCGCTGCGCCGCAGGCCGCTCCCGGAAGGGGGACGGCAGAGAAGCTGCTCACGGCAACTGGCGTGGACATATCAGCTGCACCAGTTGCAAGGAAGGAGCCTAAGGACTGGAACGAACCTTCCGGCGGCTGGCTGGGGCCCATCGCAAGGCTTGGGTTCGGGCGATTCTCCTCTGGAAAGTACAGATGGCTGATTGGAAATCACCATCCATCACATAGGACACTAAGAATGCACCTGAATTTATATGGGAGTACAATGAGGGACGTTTCGTGGCACAGTGATGAAAGCGCAAACGCTTCATTAGTGACATACAACCAGGAGAGTGATCTAGCAATACTGCACGCTGGCTTTCGCTGCATCATCAGGGGGAGGGGGGGAGGGGGCGAGTGCAGCCGTACCTTCTAGGCCGGGGCGAGTGGCGACTGCGGGCCGACCCGCTGCTGCGGCCCGACCTGTCGCTGCTGCTGCTGCTGCTGCTGCTGTCCGAGCTGCTGCGGCGGCGCCGCTTCTTCGACCTGGACGCACCCGGCCGACCGTCAGCACGCTGTCCGATCGCGGCCCCCAGCTGCCCCCGTCACAGTCAGAGTGAAAGAAGAGCGACAGGCACCAACAGACCAAGCGCAGCAGTGCAATTCCTGTCATCAACGACTTCAAATTGTTGAACGTCAGCAGAATGTTCCGTCCGCACGCCCAGCATCGGTAAGTACTTTTTCTTTTTCTTGGCAGAGCTGCCGGCGCCGTCCTCCTCTCCGAGGAGGGCGAGCAGCTTCTTCTTCAGTTCCGATGCCTTCTCGTTTCGCTGCGGGATGGCCAGGTCGTCCAGGCGCAGCAGGTCCTGTCGGAGAGGGGGGTCAGCTCGCTCCTCCGGCGCAGCTCAGCGCTAACCGGGCCGACAGTCACGCTTCACCGGCGCGCCGGTCCCACTGACCGACATCGGCGTGCCTCTGGGCAGAAGGGCAGCTGTCACCCTCAGCGAATCAGCCAACCACAGCTGGTGATACCACGCGCCAGTCCCACTGACCGACATCGGCGTGCCTCTGGGCAGAAGGGCAGCTGTCACCCTCAGGGGATCAGCCAACCGCAGTTGGTGATGCCACGCGCCAGTCCCACTGACCGACATCGGCGTGCCTCTGGGCAGAAGGGCAGCTGTCACCCTCAGCGAATCAGCCGACCGCAGCTGGTGACACCACGCGCCAGAAGGTGTCGGGTTGGCTGGCACGCCGGTCCGCCGCCCGACCCCGGGCCGTCCCTCACCTCCGCCTGGATCTGGCCGACTTGCATGGCCTTGAGGAAGCGGATGGAACGGAGCGCCTCCTTGTTGTCGGGCACGAACGACAGGCTGAGCTTGTATACCTCCATGGCCTTGTCGTAGTCCTTCTCGTCCTCATACCTGCCGTGGACAGCAGTTGTCAGGCAGGGCAGCAAGGACTAGGAACAGCAAGGCCACTGGTCTACACCAAGAGGCAGAGCCGTCCTGACGGACACAATGGGACGCGCCCGAAATATCCAAAAAAAAATCAGTATTACAATAAATACAGAAGCAGCATTCCGCCCAACGGAAGGCACAGCCAGTTGCCGGATCCACGCTAATAACGCCAATGGAGAGCAAGCAAGAACCGGTATGCTGTACAGATGATGTTTCGAAGCAAGTCATAGCCAGATGACTACTAAACCTGAAGTTGCTTACACTCTTACAGCGCCTATTATGGAATCATGCAGATTCGCTAATGGCTGTCAGAAAACGCTGCTCGAAGCATAGTAATGCATGTAAAATATACTAGCACTAAGTAACGCCAGCCGGGAAAACGGCAGTATAAAGACAGACGTTAAAAAAATGCCTTCACCTTCGCCTTCTACCCTACCATGTAGGACACTGATCCATCCAGTGGGTTGGTGCGACATGTAAAGACAAACAAAGCTACTTACATTTTGGCCTGCGCTACTAGTGTTTCACCCATGTACTTTTTGGCGTTCTGGTGGTTTGCGTCTTCATTCAGAGCCTTCTCAAAGTCCAGAATGGCTTTCTCGTAGTTGCCGCGATTGGCGAACCTGCATCAGAGTACCGTCAGAAAACATTTCCACATCCAAACACAATAGATGTTTGAAAACAAGCGTAGTACTTGAACCAGTGTCTTGCGACTGATGTCTAAAGCACCGCAGCATGTTTCATGGGTCGATTCCACGCAGCCCTCGTTCGCATACATTCCTAGAAAATGATGGCCGAAGCCGCCGAAGCCTCAAACTTGAAAATCATTCCGACGACCTGTAAAAGGTCATCTACAGTTACGTCGACCTTACACCACTGTTGATGTGAACGGTGGGTGCGGCATGGCGCCGGGATTTCCTGGCGCTGCTGAGAGTTAGCCTGCTATGATAACCAGCTCATCACTCGCACCGCTCGCACGCGGCCGCGGCACACCCGCTCGTGACATTGTACATGGGCACGATGCTGCCGCTTGCCAGCCAGATCGCCCTCAGTACACAAACGCCATATTTGCATGATGAGCCCCCCCCCCCCCCCCCACACACACACAATCACAATTGATGAAGCCTGAAAACTAATCAAGGTTCTGCTCGGATCTCGATCGGAGATGGCCACAGCCTGCTCCCGCGCACAGTGCCTGCCCCGAGACCCAGCCCTCGGCATCAGAAGCGGCCGGTCGGGCCCACTTACAGTGCTCCCCTGGCCACCAGGCCCTCAACGTTGCTGGGGTCGACGTTCAGCGCCTGGTTCAGGCACTGGAACGCCTCGCCGTACTCGCCCTTCTTGAACAGCGCCACGCCCTTGGCCACGGAGCGGTAGGCCCAGCGGGAGGCCTGCTCCTTGCGCAGGCCAGCGGCGCACTCCTCCTTGGGGAAGCCGCTCCTGCGCACACCGCGCCGTCACGTGACGACAGTCAGGCACAGCCATTGGCAGACGCGGCGAACTGACGGGGCAGGCGGGAGAACGCTGGCTGTCGGCCAGCAGAAAGTGAAACGCCATGGAGCATTTGCCCATAATCGATCTCGATTGTTCATGACAAAGAAGCACAGAAGTCTACTTGGGGGCTGACATACTGAGAGTCCGCTCAGAGGCCACATAAGGAGTGAAAGTGCGGACCAATGCCGGGGGAATTTCGACATTTCCCAGCTAACGAAACCGTGAAGCCCAAAAAACTGCAGCAACTTGCACCACATGCAGTCTGACCCACTGAAGCAATTTGCACGAAGTCAGATGCTAGCGAATGGAGCGGCTTGCACGAGATGTATTCCGAGCGGCCGACACAGCTTACGCCAACTGTAGTCTGACTGACTACAGCTGCTTATACCGCGTACAGTCCCAGCGGTCGCGGCTTACACCAACTACCCTCAAAGCGGCTGCAGCATCTTACACTAACCGCACTCAGAGCAGCCGCAGTGGCTTACACCAACTACCCTCAAAGCGGCTGCAGCATCTTACACTAACCGCACTCAGAGCAGCCGCAGTGGCTTACACCAACTACCCTCAAAGCGGCTGCAGCATCTTACACTAACCGCACTCAGGGCAGCCGCAGTGGCTTACACCAACTACCCTCAAAGTGGCTGCAGCGAGCGGCCACAGCAGCTCACAACCCGTGCAGTTCGAGACGCGCTACGCTTAAGCAGGGTGCGGTGCGAGGGAGAGCGGCGGCTTACGCGAGATGCTGTCCGAAGGACTGCTGCAGCTCCAGCAGGCCCTGCTTCTCGGCCAGGTACAGCATGGCGTTCGGGTTGTGGAAGCCGACGGCGGCGTGCAGGTGGTCCTCGTACGTCGTCTGCGGCTCCTGACTGCCGACAGCCCGCCTGGCGGGGCGGCGCCGCGGCTCAGACGCCAGACCAACACCGGCCGCGCACCGCCGCCTCACGGCCCGGCGACACCGGCAAACTCGGGCAACGACGGAGGAGACCCCCACTGAACAGCTAGCTTGCCCGTGCGCGTCCGAGGTACGCTTTGCACCACGCCCACGGCGCTTGTGTACGAAGCGCTCGATCAGTCCCACATAGTCGACCTACACGACATTCAACCTGTTCGCGGCGGTGGGTGTGTGGCGGGTGCGGGCGTGGTTGCAGATGTGGGTATGGGTAAGGGTGTGGATGTGGATGTGGGTGTGGGGGTGGGTGTGGGTGTGGGTGTGGGTGTGGGTGTGGGTGTGGGTGTGGATGTGGATGTGAGTACAGCGGTGGCTGTGGGTGTGGATGTGGGAGTGGGTGCGGGCGTGGGTGCGGGCGTGGGTATGGGTACGGGTCTGAATGTGGATATGGATGTGGACGTGGATGTGAGTACAGATGTGGCTGTGGGTGTGGACGTGGGTGCGGGTGTGAGTGTGGGTGTGGATGTGAGTACAGATGTGGCCATGGGTGTGGATGTGGCTGTGGGCGTGGGTGTGGGTGTGGGTGTGGGTGTGGGTGTGGGTGTGATGTGGGTGTGGGTGCGAGTGTGGGTGTGGGTGTGATGTGGGTGTGGGTGTGGGTGTGGGTGTGGATGTGAGTACAGATGCGGCCATGGGTGTGGATGTGAGTACAGATGCGGCCATGGGTGTGGATGTGAGTACAGATGCGGCCATGGGTGTGGACGTGGGTGCGGGTGCGGGTGCGCGTGTGGGTGTGGGTATGGATGTGGGCGTGCGGATGCGGGTGCGGGAGCCGGACGGGTGTGAGTCTCGGGAGGGTGATAGTGTGGGGTGGGTGTGTCAGAGGCACCCACGTCCTCAGGGCGTGGGTAAGTGTGGACGGGCGTACGCGCGCTCCCTCCGGCAGCTGGGTGTGCGGCTGCGTGTCCGGGGCACCTACTTGCAGCGTGGCGACAGGTCGTTGAGTGTCACGTGACCCAGCTTGACGTGGCCGACCAGCGCCGGCGGCAGGTTCGACTCCATAAGCGACATCACGATCATGTCGCCCTGCTGCACCTCCACTACCAGGCCCATGCACAGCTCGTGCGTCTTCCAGTGCCGGTCCAGCGACATGTTTCCCGGCACCACCGCCTGGCGGCGCCACAGGTAGGTTAGCCAGCCATCCTGGGCCGGGCGAGCACAAGCGACGAACCACTTGTGCTCGAAGCATAAATGGAATTACCACTCTAGTAATGGTGCAAGGAAAATGTGTAATGTGTTTTTGTTAACAACTCACACTGAACAAACGATTAATTCATTTAGGTGACACGACTACCAAGAACAAGTGACTTCAGAGCAATGACGGGTGTGCTTAACAGGGACTTCATAGAACACGAATAAGCCTAGCATGCATGTTACCAAGATGAACACTAGACCTGTTCTACACGTCGGAGCGTTACCCAGTGTGACGATGGACGAAGGACACGCGACATCGCCACAGACGTGATGCTGCGCGAGGGGCAGACATCACTACCGAGATCTGTAACTACCAGCGAAGGAGATAAAAGAGATGAGACAAAACCCTGGTGTCACGCTGGTGGCGGGAGCCGTTACCTGGGTGTGCCATTGGCAAGCATTAAACGGATGCACTGGTGCCTATGGGAAGGTGGGGCAATGTCGGGATCTGACGCAGGCTTGGGGAAATCACCAGGATGTCCTGCTGGTCGCGCAGGGAAGACATTGCCCACATGTACAGCTTGTTGCACTGTTGCCTTGCTGGTTTGGGGACATTACTGGCCCCAAAACCAGTGGCTGCTGGTCAGCAGACATAAACTGGATGTGCTGCTGGTTTGGGGCATCACTGACGCGGCTGCTGGTCAGAAACCATTACCAGGCTGTGCTGCTGGTTTGGGGGCATTGCTGGCGTGGCTGCTGGTCAGCAGACATTACCCGGATGTGCTGCTGGTTTGGGGGCATTGCTGGCGTGGCTGCTGGTCAGCAGACATTACCCGGATGTGCTGCTGGTTGCGCGAGATGGGCATGCAGCCGCAGGAGACGAGCACGGCGCAGTCGAGCACCAGCGCGCCGGTCGGCTTCATGCCCACCACCTGGCATAGGATGATCTGGCCGGGCCGGATGATCTGCGGCGCCACCGAGGCCGGTCAGCGCCGCCGCCGCCCCATACTGAGGTGCGCCATACGCACACACGCCACACGAGGATCTGCTGTCATTATATTATCATCAGCGCTGTTGGAGGCTCGTCGCCCACACCTCTCATCTATTCAGATGGATGACCTCTTCACAGGCAGGTCTTGGAAAAGAACATGTTAACATACTACAACTTCCGCCGACGTAGCATTCATGATTGGCTGTCGGGAATTGTACACGCCGCCTGGACAGCACGTTGCAAATTTGTCCCAGGTGTACCTTGAGAGCCTGCTCCCTCCAAGCAGCCCTGTTCAGTCCCAGGAACTCGGGGAGACACGGCACCTTGGCGTACAAATCTGCAAACATGGCCCGAATCAATGAACAGGTAGGTGGGATAAGAGACAGTTTTGCTTCAAACTTAGGGTTTAAGTGTATACTTGGTTTTATTGAAAAAGGGGAATGTTATCTGACAGAAATCCTTCCAAAAACAACACAAATTGTGTGTCACACGAAGATTCAAAGTATATTGTGCGCTGTTTCTTGAGAGATGGGGAAAACCAGACACGCCGATTGTTTAGCCAATCATTGATCAGAGGCAAGGGTGTCAGTAGCCCTAGCAGATTAGTGAAAATCATTAAAAAAAAGCCTTACTAAAAATAACGGAAATCAGAACCACGTTTTTGACCAGGCCCTGCTTTAACAGGCACTTTACCTTCATCTTCAGCCAGCGATTCCGTCGGCTGAGGCAGCTCGTCTTGTGAGAGCGGTCTGTACAACAGCTCTGCCTTATCAGCCATGAAGTTTAGCAGTTTTAATCGCTTTGTTCGATCCTGCATGCTGTAAAAATGCACAACATGGGTGAACACATCAGTTCTGGACGTGGACATCCAATCTATGCACCCTGTGCAATCACCACCCATGCAACAGGCGCATCAAACACCGGCACAAAACTGGCCTCCAAACAAAAATGCAATAAATCACACAACATACTTAGACGGCACCGCCTGGTCATCTTGAGATCATCAGGGGCCTCCTTTCCAGGGCCTCGCTCCCGCCATCTGAAACGTCCTGCTGGCTCCTGAAAAACCCAGCCGGCCGCTGGTTTGCTGATGTCCATCGCGTGATCCCAGTGTGTTCAAGTCGCCTCTCACGGCACAGCATTGCTCTGGCCTCCGTCACACATCTGAAGCCTCCAGAAGGTCGAGGTCGCTGACGTGTCCTGGCTGTGAACGGCTCTTGTCCAGCTGTCCAGCATCGCTCTCTTGCGTGTCGTTCCACTTTCGGAAGGCATCAACTCCAGATGCCATGCACCCAATATTTTTGACATCTCTGGCAGAGTGAAGAAGAATTTGAGCATGATTCAGAATACATTAACGCATCGCATACTTCAAAACAGCAATCGCATTACGATTAGACCATTGAGAGGTTGTGATTACGACAAAATGATAACACAAAATCATGGGCGGTGAGCAAACATCACACACAGGAAGGCGGTGATCTGTACTAAATAGTTACCTTTACGCCATTTCTTCGTTAAACACGCTAAGTACATCAACGCATAAACCTTACATAATTATATACGACGCCCAGGGACTCGCATTTGATATGGTGATGAACCAACTTGCGCCGGGTGGCAAGAAAATGTCGATGAGCCAACTAAACAGAATCATAACGCCACATGAATGTGTTTATTCCGACCGGTTATACGTCCAGACCCAATCCGCCATTCATCAGACTGACATAAAGTAGCACATAACGCAAGGCTGTAGACTCCTATCGATTCTTTGTGCCAACTGCTTGGCATAGGCTTCGGCATGAACGTCAATTTTATGCGGAACCTGAGCCATCCAAATCACGCCGTGTTTCTCAGTGAGGGCTCGAATCACGATGCGCCTTCATTCATTCTGGGTGGCGCCTTTCCGTGGGAGTACAACTCAGCACAAATCGGGTCATGGGCGAACAATGTAAAACAGCACGCGAAAACGCATGGTTTCAAAGGCGACACGTCCCTCACCAGCTCCGGCACTTTCGCCAGTATGACCACTGTGTGATTAGGTCGGTTGACCCAACAAACCAATGCCGGTTTCTTTACTGCTGTGTTAGAGCAAAAATCATCGACCAAAAGTCAAAGTTTTATCAGAAGACGTAAACAGGGCTTTGTTTCTCACCTTTGCAATACCGTTTCCTGTAGACATTTCCTTCACTGAGATTTTAGGTCAACCTAAATTTATACATTTTAGCCGCTGCACGTAGACTAATTGTTTGTTCTATCCCAAGTTTACTGTCATTAAACAAGATTATTGCTCAATAAGTCCTACTTTCACTTTTGGGAGATTATCCGCGTTATCCCACACCGGAGTGAAACCAATTTCAACTTAAAAAACTGGTAAAAAGACAGACAGATAAACTACATGGACCATTTATTTTGACATTCATATTTGTACAGAAGAACTGAAAAATGACTTTAATGGAATCGGCCCTTTGGCTTGAAAGCATGCCAGTTTTTCAGCTGAACTTCAAGCTGAAGGGAAGTGCATGCAATGTCCCAAACGTGCTTTTCTCAAGGCCCTGGAACCTCTGTCAAGCCCACTGCAGTCCTGAAAGTTTGACGAACTTATGTAAAACACATGGTCTGCACAGCCAAAGGTGCTTCAAAACTATTTCATGTCGTTCAGAAACGGCAATCAGAGGTTCTGTGGTTCTTCCTCTCAGTGTATTTTGGCCACACCATATGAGTATGTATGCATGCATGAATGCATGCATGTATGTATGTATACACTATACATTATGTACACATGCATATATGAACATATATACGCATATAATACAATATATATATATATATATATATATATATATATATATATATATATGTATTATGTACGCATGATATATATATATATATATATATATATATATATATATATATATGTATTATGTACGCATGCTACTAAAAATTTCCACAAAGTGGCTCCTACTGTTCGCAAGTCAGTACAAGCACTAAACAATCGCGACGAAGTCGTCAATTAGTTCATACCACTTCCGTACCAATATATCCTTTTCATACAGGTAAGCATCTATAGGCCGTGGTATTTTTGGGGTGAATGTACAGGTTGAGGTACAAGTCAATGCGCGACGATGATATTGGCGACCTGTAGTCCAGCCTTTCAATATCACTATGGGCGATTTTAATGACTGGATTGACGTGATATACATTTTGAAAGTTGCCTCACCTTACATTAGCGCTAGAACGTTACAAAGACCGCAAAAGCATTGCAATTATTTTGTTTAAAGCTATAGTGGTCACAGTGGGAAATTGAGTTCAGCTCCCATGTTCGACGTAATACCTGCAATAATGACCCGTAACGGCGTTATCGTGCCCTGAAATGTAACCTGCTGAGCTGAAGCTACGCAGGCGGAAATATTCAGTACCGTGGATTACAAGCAACACGCTGATTTTCATCCCAACACACCATCTGTCCTCATTTGAAAGTTAGTTGGGTGTAGCTCTCCAGCGCCCCCCCCCCCCCCCCCCCCCCGATCCTCAGGTAACATGACATAAATATGGCATGCATATACTTACAGCGTTGGTACAGCATTCATAGTTACAAAAAGGCTGTAGTGTTACCTAAACCTGGCACACCTTCACAAATACTAAGTACAGCCTGGCGCACATGCTTGCCACAATGAGTGACATGGTATGGATCGCCAGTTTTCTGTACAGAGCTCTGAAAACAAGGTCATCTCTCAAGGACCTGAGATCGCACGACAAACTGCAGATCATGTCTAACATGGTTTCAAACTCCCACGCCAGACATTCTGCATGACCTTCCATGTGGTTCAAAAGACAATTTCAGAGAAAACGGACAGGGTCATGCCCATCCTCCCACTGCCAGCGAGATTGAAAAGGTCAAGGCTATTGAGGAGCATTACATGAGTACTTGCAATACTTTCTTTTTGGTCTTCGATACATTTATTTGCAAGTATGAGGTGGGCCCTACATATCAGGCTTTCAAATGTTCGCCCCAGCGTGAGCCACACCAAGCCTGTAAGCAGACAGATAACCCATAAGCAGACACATAACTATGCTTCTTTTACACAACATTTAATGATAAATTATTGAAGCATTTACATTCCCTATTCCCATCATACCTTAGATCTTTAGTCCTTTGGTGATACGTGTGATAGTCAACATCACGAATGTTTATGCTTCCCAGCAGTTTGACTTGCTTGTCTTCCATGATCTTGCTAAGCTGCTGACCATGGAAGTTGAATGTGTTCACGATCATTCTTGACGTATCCATCTTGAGATCTGCCCAAAATCATACACGTCATGCTTTAATCAAGTTATACGCTCAATAAACAGCAACACATGCACACAGGTCAATACATCTCAAACGCATTAAACCGTGGACGCCAGTGCTAACCAGCTGACGACCGCACTGCAGTTTCTTCTCCAATCGGAGCCGATGTGTTGGCGGCAGAGGTTATCGGTTCAATTGTCCAAAATCCGGTCCGCCGCGTTGAGGGCCTCGGTCTCGTCTCATCAGACGTAACATCATCGGTAATGGTTACACGCATTATACCATAATAACAGTCTTTACTGCGGTAGTCAGTGATACCTTGAGGGGCTGGTATCAGCATAGATTGACACTCTCGAGGGCGAACACACAAACCAAGCAGGATAGGTCAGTGCCTCCTCAATGTAAACCAAAGCCAGTGACCCTTGGAAACTAGTTCCGGCTTTCAACGATCTTTTGTCGCTTTTTGCTGAATCTGATTCAGGATACCAATTAACTGGCCCTTAAGGGAACAAATGTTGCGCTATCTCGTAATTGACGGAACTGTATCGCGTCTCCAAACTTCAATTTGAAACACGAAGTGTCGTCAGTTAAGCTCAAAAGGTCAAATCGAACATCCATCAATTTGTGTTCCGCGGCTTCCGTTCAGCTTCGGGCCAAATGGACAGGGTAGCGCATCGCACCCTGCCAACGACGCGATACGCAATAACTCGCCCCGAGCCGTAATGTTTTGTTTTTTTTTATTCGCCGCAGCCTATTTTGAGCGCGCACCTGCGGGTCATTTTTTCCGAGTGATTTTGCGTGTCATACTCTGAACACGATTGGCATTGCGCGCACCAGCCCTCGCGTACAGCTTTCCTTGACCAGCTCTACTACGTCTCCTGGCGGTAGAAGCCAGGGACAATACCGGGATGTTTCCTGTCACCGGATGTTGCAGGCACATGGGTGTCATCTGGCAGTTTTGAGGTTTCGCGTCCGTGATGCGTGATCTCTTGTGAGGGCCCGTCAGATGACGCACTGGCCGTTGGGCAGCGGACTTACAGGAAGCACAATGTTAACTCTTCAGGCATGTCTCTATGCATGCAATACAGTCAACATCATCGATACTGAGCATCACTTGCGTGCGGGTGGTCCGCGCGAGTTGCTTACCAGCGGCGGCCACATCAGCAACCTGCATGGGAACTTCTCGCCCTATGAATGTGACTTCAAACAGGGCGGCCACTCCTACACGTCCATGGTACACCACGTTACCAGGCACCTGAGCGCCACTTTTCGGACGCGGGGTTCGATTCGCACATTCATGATGACGTCTCTGCCTAGTCCGCTGGTCGCGGACTCCGGGACACGCTGCGAGTTCCCGTTTTCTGGCAGCGTGCCACATGTCCAGTGACCTCGGGTCCCTTGGAGCGCTTGCTATACCTCGCCTCTTGTTCTAGTGAGGACCGGTCAAAATATTATTTTGATATTCCAGGGTCTCTTTTACACATGACTGCGATAGGTCAAATCGTTCAGCCACCAGGTGCCGGGGTATATCATCGAATAACCACTGCGCGTCTGGGAAACCAGAGGTACGGGGTTCGATTCCTCGCGGTGCCCGCCCAGCCTGCCAGGTATGAGAAAGAGGCATGCGACGCCATATAGCCCCAGCAGCTGAGTGCGTCGTAAAGCCCCAGTGACATGACATGGGGTATATCATGACGTCGCCCCTAGCAGCTCTGAAGAGTTGGCGCGTGAATTCAGCGTACATGTAGCTGCCAGCTGGCCTTTTCCAATGTGCTGCACAGTGTCTCAAGATTGGCCAACTTGGATGGCAAGGACTGACTCAGGATTCGATGCCCGGTACTCCTTCCCTTGCTCAATATCGGCCAATCAGCACCCGACCGGGCGGCGGTCAACCCACCATCCACGCGCCTCGGGATTGGCAGACCGACCTAGCGGGTAAGATCTTAGGGTTCAAGATCAAGGGGCAAAGGATTGACAGCTAACGAATTGTGTGCGCGGGAGCTGCCGAGAGCCAGAATTCATGTGGCATGAATTTATGTTAACCTTCCCGCCCGCACAACCCACTGAGTGGTTGCTGCATGACCATGTGCAGTCGACAGTGCCCTAGAACTCAACTGAGTGGATTTTGGAACGTTGCTGCACCCGGGTATCCATACGCTCATGGGAGTCATGTATTGTTGACCGTGCACCCCAATGTGCAACTTCGAGAGGGACAGGGACGGACACAGCACGCTAGGCCAGTCCTTATCATGATGCCTCCTGAATTTCTATGGAGATGTCCCCCAAGTCGTGAGGTTAGGCCTAACAAGCATTTCAAAGTCTTAAGGCCCTGTATATTTTTTAGAAATACCCCAGAGCACCTGAAGTTGGCTATGCTGAGTGTTTCACTGTGTAAAATCATGTACTGGCTAAAACAATGGGACAAACACCCCAAAAACATCACAAAGCACTGATTTTCTTCTTTCCACACTGAACCGGGAATCGGCGCTACTCTAACAGTGGTCTTTATCAACCTAGCCAAGCCACTGAGACTGTCTCATGCATTATATCTTAAGGTTTATATGCAAAACTTCCAGAGTTTGGAGCCTCTAAACACCGTGTTCCTCCCAGGTTTCACCCCAACTTCTCAAGAACTGCCTGGACATCAGTCTCATTTCGTTGTGTCGCATTATAGCGGCAGATTCGGTTACGAGGCGATCGGAGACACTTCACAAGCGGTGCAGCTGAGCGGGTCGTGAGCCGAAGATCCAGCGTCTGGTGCCTCAGCCTGCCCAATCACTCTTGTGCTGCTGATGGTTTGGTCATATGTCGGGTGCGCAGACATTATCTCACAATGGTCTTAATCACAGTGTTTTTGTGAGCGTCTGCCAGGGGCATGGACGCTGGGGGGAGGGGGATCAAGGGGGCCCAAGCCCACCCTAGTGTCTGAAACTTCAGGGTTTCTTTGTGTTTTTAGCCCCAACATATTGCATTTTCCACAAGTATACACTGGAAAGAAGAAAACCCATTGTTCTCCATGGGCAACATGAGATAGAAATGAGATTGTCCACAACCATCAACAGCTCTGTGGGACGCACTAGCCACGACTTAAAGTGGGATGCTGCAAGCAAACTACAAAGTGGATCACCCCCCCCCCCCCATGCTTTCTCCTAATCTACTCAGTACTCAGGCCTTCCCTGCTCACCAACACACCTTATAATCCACCTACCTACAACACAGCATGCTCTCAAACGCAGCACTCCGCGAAACGCACTCTTCACAGGCACATCCTCCGACCGGGCCTACAACTAGTGTGAACAGCGAGAACAGAGAACAGAACAGCGAATAATTAGTGCTGCCACAATGCTTCTTATGATATGCTTTAATTGATAAGAAAACATGTGACATACAGCTAAAATGTAGATACCAAGATTTATTATTTAGCACCTATTTTAAGCAAAATGAATAAGAAAAGCACTAACTGGATATCAAATATAATTATATGTGTTCAACAACTGTTTCACTGAATAAATTGCATGTAAAGAATAAAACAGATGTAAGACACTGCCTCAGACACAAGCATGGGCATGTACAATCAAGCAGACAGAAGCCCATTGATCCAGGGGAGGACTTCACATTGGGAAAAACACATAGTTCTCTGCTGAAAAGTGTGTGCTGAATAATGGAAGGACCCTTACAAGATTGAGATGATCATATAGAGACATTAATTTTTCTTTTCATCTATAGAATTGTGATACCCAATTATTCAGTATGTGTTCATTTCTGGAAGCCTTGTTCTTCCCAGTTGGGGTGCCATATTGGTTGTGAACTGAAATAATTGTGTGACTTTTGAAAGCTTCTTTATGGCTGAACTAAGTCTGGCCAATGCATATTTTTCAGAACAGGAGTAAAGGCCTAGGAAAACCATACAGAGCACAAAACTGTAACTGCCACTGGCTATGTTCTTAAGGACTGCCTCTTGGTGAGCTCTTTTTTCATGGGCTTAAAAAATAGCCCCCTTTTCTGTAGCCTTCTGAGTCTCCAGCATTTGAGCATGCTCAGGCCATGACACAGCAGGACCTGAAGGACAGATGGAGACCAGCTAGATTGCCCTTTACTTTACACCAGCCAAACTGCCCTTCATACCACCCACCACACAGAAGCTGTGTACTGAGGTCCCAGACAGGTGTGTAGTTTTGCAACAACAACAAAAAAGTTTGGGGGAGGGGAGGGGCTAGGAAGAGAACATCATTAAAACCTACCCTTAAAATAGAAGTGATGTTTCCTCCTGGTTTCACAAACTGTCACCTTAATCCCTGACCCCAGATCAAATGTATCTAAGTCAGTAGGAGTCAAAATGGGTATCATATTGGCCAGCATCTGTCTCACAGTGAGATTGAGGTTACCATAGCTGGTAGACACCTGCACTATCCACTATGCACCAAGTGTTCTCATTGGTAGCAGTGGTTTGCATGTCATTTCAATGACAACTTTGTTGTGGTGTACTCTGGGAAATGTTATGGTGCACAACATGTTTAGCACGGTTCCTTTCCACCTCCTAGTTCCAGAAAGAAGTGTGTGCTTGAATATAAAATGTTTCATACAATGGTGAAGTAAAACACTTAATCATACTTAGAAAACTGGAAACTTACAGAATAACAAGCTGCTGATTTTCACTGTCTCTGGCCATCACTGAAACCAGCTTTAGCATGGTATTCATGGTGAGCTGCTGCTAAAACATGGTTCCACAATGCCTGTTGTGTGCAAAGTGCAAATTAACTTGGAATATTTTGTTCTCACTACTAACAGTGGTTTTGAAATATTTATTCTTGCTCCCAGTAGCTAGCACCAAGTTTCAGATACAGCTCAATGCTTTCTGAAAATATGGCACTATCAGCTCAACTGACATTAAATGGAAAGAAGCCACCAAAAATCCTTATTGCATCTGACTATGCAACCCCTCTTTATGAGAAATTCCCTTTCCTGAACAATACACTGCTTATGGCCTCTGTCTCCAGGTCACTGGCAGGGGGTCATGATCACACACAACTCTCCCCCATCAGCTGCATGGTACCAACAATAGTTAAATACACCACTAAGGTGTGGAGCAATCCTCACTTTGATAAGACAAAGATGACCACATATTACATATACAATCACAATGTTCTCATTGAGGGCGATCACCTGACACGCAAACCCCACAATGGCGCACCTGTGCGTCACGTATAGGAGAGCATTGGTGCACGGCCGGGCCGCAACGCGTCGCCCACGATCGCTGTACAGCTCGCATTAGGTAGGTTTCAACCATTCCGCATGCTCGAAACCATCTACATTTTTGAATACTAAATCTGGATGCCAAAAGCGCCAATAACTTACTGATTGCACCCGTGTTGCAAGCGTCTTTAAATCTTTACATACCAGATCCCATCTATTGCCCCGGAGCCGGCCTATGCCTTCTTGGCAACTGAGTGATTTTTCTGACAATAGACATTACTTCACAGACACAGCTTGGGGTTTGGAAACAACGCATTTTCCTACCCAGCACAGCACAAATCATCACTTACCGCACCCTCGTCTGGCGAGTATACGCAAAAATGCCCAAACGCCGCCCACTATCCAAGCAAATTTCAGGTGCCCCCCGCAAGGTTTCCTGAATTGGTTCTCCACCAAAAGACCAAAATTCAGTAAAGTTGGTTGAAGATCCATTTTTAATCGCATAACCGAAAAAATACCCAAAAATAGTGAGGAAGATTCCGATACGTGAGTCTGTGACCCTTACCCATCCAAACATTAAACGAATGTATTGAAAGACTATCTGTAACACAGAAACTCAGTTTTGTTGCTGCTTTCCGTGAAATTTCTTGCAAAATGTTGAGTTATCGGCCGGTCGGGACGATTAACATCCGCGGATGACATTGTTAAGTGATCCGAGTAGCATCCACGTATTGGCAGTGGCGCAGCCAAGGGAGACTCGTTGCCGGTTGATAGTACCAGTACAATAACATCGTGTGTCATGGTCGCACGCCGTGTGCATGGCTTACTGTGTTTTAAATCGGACGCCGTAATGTTGCAGCTTGCAGTAGCGGACGGCCGTCAGCGTTGAGCGAGACACTTTCTTGGAGTTGACCGGATAAAGTGAAAACCGAAATTATACAGGTGATTTGTACTGGCAGATGATGACCCTAAGCCAGCGCTGTCGATTGAACATATCCGTTCTTTGCATGTGTGATTACAAGTAATTGCTCCAGGCCGCCGTATTCTGGCCATCAGGCTACGGCAGGCTGACCGATGCCAGCAATACGCCATCAGGGGGTGATTTGAACAAAAAAGCTCATGTGGACCGATGAACGCTTGCATTGCCGACCAATAGTGGTCCGACAATGACATTGTGTGCGCATGGTCGCACTCGTCGCGCTTTTTTCTCTTTTTTTGATACGCCGCCGTAACGTTGGCAATCCCTCTCTGGCCAGCCCGCCAGCATTGAGTGAGACGCTGCCGGGTGGCCGGCCGACTAAAATGGAGACCACAAACTGACAGGTTTCCCTGGTATCCGCACTTTGGCCATCGCGTTACGGGCAGCCCGGCAGCAGTTAGCAATACGCCGCTGAGGCGGATGAGCGACTTGCATTGCCGACCGACAGTGCTTACGCTGTGACATATTGTGCACGGAGCTCTACCCGCAAGAATAAAAACAGTTAAACTAGGGCACCGTAGATTTATAAACCGCCGGTGCGACCGGCGGCCAGTTCATTGAGTGAGACACTGTCGTGATGTCGGCAGAATGAAATGGAAGGCAGAATCGGACAAACGTGTTGCACTGGTAAATCTTACCCCCTATACCAGCGTTATCGACTGCAAACAGTCGTGATTTTTGCGCACGGTTATAAGTATTTTACCATCGCCGCCGTGCTTTGGCCATCGTGCCGCAGGCAAGCCGGCCAGTGTCAGTAATGCGCAATGGGGGGGGGGGGGGGGGGTGATTATAACAAGGAATTAGATGCCAGCCGACGAGCGATTTGCATTGCCGGCCAGAGGTGCTTCCACAGTGAAATGGTGTGTGCATGGTCGAACCCGCCGCGCACTATTAAGATTATTTCAAATTGGACGCTGTAGCCTGGTAAATCGCCCCTGCGGCCGTTGCGCCAGGAACGAAAAAAAGGGTCTTTTGTCACCGTCGAAACGTAGGGCAGCCCTAGTTGTCACCTGGACTCAGATTTCTCAGAAGCCATTGTAATTTAACTGCAGTAATGTGGTGAACCACGCAAAACAAAGCTCAATGAAATGCAATGCGTCATAAACATCACATACATTTTCGTTGGAGGAGTTTCATTTGCACTACATTGGCTGGCCATGCTAAAAGTACCGGTGGTTAGGACGGAAATCTCAGTACATAAGTGGCAGGGGGCAGCGGGCTTAAAGCCGGCGAGGACATCGGTTCGGTTCAAACCTAAGACATCGCATGTACGGAGAAAGGCGAGAATGTGTTTGATCAGCGGTCATATCACAACCATAAATAACACGTAACGAGCCCATGCACTATTTTCGGCATGCTGGGGCAATGCCCGCATTGGAAAAGGGCCACTGCAGAGTTTGATCCATCCATAAAATATCCCTCGTCATCTCTTTGCCATCAGACTGTAACATCTGTTTATGGTACAAAGTACGTTATCTTAATCTGATAATTGCTGTGTTGCTTCACATGGCAGCTATCATTGTGTCTATAGCTACAGTGTCTGCAATGAAATGTATAGTTTTCCTAGTCCCTAAAATTTTCTAGACTTCACTTTCGGCGCCTGGGAAGTATTTTCTCTGCAATGCAGAATCACCAACCAGAAATCCAACACTGGATAACCTATTTCACGGTCTGGGCCACCGTATTTTGGCCATCGCTCTGCGGGTAAGCCGGCTGCAGTAAGCAAAGGACCACTCGTCGGCGGGCATGTCATCCCTGCCAAAATCACCCCTTGTTCCGCACTACTGACATTGGCTGGCCTGCCTGCGGTGTGATGAAGCACGGTAACGAAGGACAAATGCTTATAAGCACGCACAAAAAGTGCAACTGCGTGCAGCCGATGACGCTCGTATAGGGGTGTGATTTGCCAGTGCAACGCGTTTGTCCGATCACCGTCAATTGATGATGTCAACTAGAAAAGACACTTTGATTTGCATTGCTGGCCGATAGGACCCCGAGAATGGCATCGTTTGCGCGTATTCGCACCCGCCACCGACATAATTTAAGTTGAACGCCATCATTTTGGAGACGGCCGCTGTCACCGGGCCGCCAGCGATCAGTGAGACGCTGTTGGAGTTCGACCAAATGAAGTGGTAGACACACTTCAAGACAGTTGGCTCCGGACCCCCACTCCTTTGCTCAAACTTGCAAACAAACCGAGGCCGTTGTTCTGAGCACCTGTTATTCCCGATTCAGGCATATGCAGCTGTGGTTCGCACAAAGTGGTTTTGGTGACACGGTTTGTAGGAGTTACGTTCGCCTACGTTTTGAAGTTTGGTTAGCGTCTTCATCTGATTTGCCCGTGGACACACGGCATTTTACGCGCGACAAACTGTCCAGAGGGGCAGTGCCAAGCCGAATGCCATACAGATTGAAGGAAATGATTCGCTCTTATCATTTTCGAGGAGAAATTTGCGGTAGCTTTTGCAACAATGTGCTGCGTCCGGGTACAGTTTTCAAAATTATGATATCCCCGTCACCCATCCCCCCCCCCCCTCCTGCACACACAGCTGTCTAAAGAGGCAGTGGTAGGCCGTCTTCTACCAAATACTCACCGCGTTGTTCGGCTCGCACGACACAAACGCATCACACGCAGACGATTCCCGTGCCGGCCATTTCCCCGTCAGCCAGGCATTCATGACGTCACACAGACGTCACGCAGATACCGCCATCTCACCATCCACGTAGCGTTCACCTGTCCACCTCACATGTCCGCTTCACCGTCCATACATCAGCACGGTCCGTGGTATTAGCGGTCACAGTTGGCCTTCGACTATTTTGATGCGTTGAGTGCAAGTTTCAAATACAAGGTTGTTTGGATTAGAGCCTTTTGGACTAGAAGCGATCAACTCAGGGCTATGGGATGAAGGAAAATGCTTCACGGTGGGGCAGGCTTGCATGCGCTTGGGGGAGGGGGCCAACCACCAAGCTCTGACCCGCGCATGTGCGCTGGGTACTCGGCCGGGGTTCCCCTTCCGACGGGGTTTTCGGCCCGCTGGTGACTGACGCATGCAGCCTGCCCCGGACGAGCGGGGTGTCACAAGAATGCGGGATGACGCAAGATAGAGGATAAGAGGGACGGATGAACGAACACGAATTACGTTTTGTGCCATATAGTACAGGACTTTGGGCAGTGGTACGGGTTATGACCGCAGTAAAAATGGGAATAAAATAAATTTATAATAGCGCAACAGCTGGCTAGGTAAATGCAAGTACACGATGTTGAATCACAGAATATCATCAGAAGACGACAACACAGGCACATAAGAATATTAGGGTTTCGCAAACACGCGCCAACACGCGCGTCGCCTGTTGGCAGGCTGAAGTACTACAAGCTAGTCTCGGCCATAGTGGCAATCCTGACACGGCCATCTGGCAGCGGCTCGGACGTCATGCAAATGTTCCATGGTGTAAACGATGGCGTATTGAAGAGCTTATTTACTCAGCAGTGATTTTGTGTTGTCTAGAGCAGTCTTTTGCGCGTAAAAGCGCGCCAATGGCAACAAGAGAGCTATGCTTGCCTCACTATCTTGAAATATCGAACATTCCCTTTCAGCTGCTTTTCAATGAATTTGTTTTCGCCGTCTGTTCTTATGTGCGTCTCTGTCTCTGCCTCTGTGTCTGTTTCTGTGTCTGTATCTGTGTCTGTCTCCGTGTCTGTGTCTGTCCCTGTCTCTGTCTCTGTCTCTGTCTCTGTCTCTGTCTCTGTCTCTGTCTCTGTCTCTGTCTCTGTCTCTGTCTCTGTCTCTGTCTCTGTCTCTGTCTCTGTCTCCGTCTCTGTCTCTGTCTGTCTCTGTCTCTGTCTCTGTCTCGGTCTCGGTGTCGGTCTCGGTCTCGGTCTCGGTCTTGGTCTCGGTCTCGGTCTCGGTCTCTGTCTCTGTCTCTGTCTCTGTCTCTGTCTCTGTTTCTGTCTCTGTCTCTGTCCCTGTCTCGGTCTCCGTCTCCG